TGCTGCCTTGACCTTGAATGATGCACTGACACTCCAAGACTTACTGTGAATGAGATGGAAAATAATATGAGACTCTGTTATGACACAGAGGGGAAAATCCTGCACTGAAGTGTTTAGGGTAAAAAAAAGGCCAGATTTCTATTTACACAGGTACAGGTATTTGATGCAAGATAAGAAAGCTGATCTTGAAAACACTTGAGTTAGAAAATAGAATGCTTGAATAAATATAACATGTACCTAAAGTTTACAGTTTATTCAGATAAAACCTAAGGCTTTTCCTGACCCTCAACTAACTTATTTCACCGCGGCAACATTAGAAAATCATTCTATTGAGAGTGTATTAGTGGTGAAAGAAAACCCTTATGCACAAACCTAGCTTTTTAAACACAAAAATGGTTAGAAGGTTGCCAGTATTTCCTTAAGCAGTTATCTCTATTGAGACCTGCACATATTGCACACTCAGTTTATAAATGCATTGATTTCTTTTTTCTTTAAGTTATTAATAAAATTAAAAACTAATATCTTGGATTTTTTTTCCAGATTAAATCTAATATCTGTTGGATATAAAGTGGTGTCTGCATGGCCCAAGCTGTTAACTCTGGGACCATTTATAGTTTTGTTTTCTGCCATCATAAAAATGCTGTGAATTAAAACACCAGATAGACATTTGACCTAAATGGGCCTGAATTTATTCAGCAAAAATTCTTTAGAGAGAGATCATACACACTAAGCTCTCATCCACTCCTTGTGCTTCCTGGAGGGGGATAGGTGTCTTCTTCTCAGGCTCAGCTCCTCTACCATAGGCCTTGGAGCTTGAGAGTTCCTCTCAGTATCTTAGCTGTTCCTAGAACTTAACTCCTCTGGACTGAGATGTCTGATTTTTCTCCAGTGTGGGGGTTACTGCCCTCATTGCATAGCATGCACCTGGGATCTTGCCTGGTATGGTAGATCTGGACCTCTATTGCTGTGGTGCTCAGGTCCTGCTACTGCACTGCCATGATCGGTATTCTCTTCACCATAGTCATTCAGCCTGGCCCTTTCTAGCCATTGATAGGATTTGGTCAAATCAAGGGGCGACGGTGGTGTCAGACGTAGGAGTTTGCCCTGAAATCGAAAGATTGACGGTTCAAGCCCCGGCTCCTACTTTCAGTGTTGTTGTGTCCTTGGGCAAGAGAATCAGGGATGACAAAGCATCTACTTAGTATATTCCACATTTATTTATTTGTCTGGCCTCTTCACTGTATCTCTTCAGTCAGGTAGTCAAGGCTATGGGTATCGGTTTCTATTTCTTGGGTATATCTTTACTAGATGCAAACTTATAGAGCTCTGATAAATAGCTTACTGCTTTCCATGTTGCCTTGATTTTGGCTTCCAACCTTCTCAGCCATGGAGGACATTGGTCACTGTGGAAGTGTTACCTTGGCCAAGCATCTCAAGGATCAATAATTCTGTACTGTATATCAGCTCATTAGTTTCATTGATGGTCACAGTAGGAATCGTGCTCAGTGCTGCGTTCACCTCATCCAGGAGATAATTTGCAGGGCCCCCACTGTACTTTGCTAGCCAATCTTTCAGTAGAGCCATTATCTTATATCTCCGGTCAGTGGTTCTCCCATTTAGTCGTTCTTGGATCATTGGTGCAGGTACCCAAGATCAGCGTCAGATGGTAACCCCATCTGACGCTATGTCTTGGAACCCTGTTGGAGGGCACAAAACTTAATGTGAGATGGTTACCACTTTAATTAAGACAATGCTGTTTACAACTTCAAACAGGCATGCTAGCCCTTCTCATTAACTAATATCTTGTTAGACTTCCAGTATTACGCTTTTAATAGTGAAACAGAAAAAATGGTACAATACTTTACACGATAACTTTAAAACTATAATTCATTTCTACAGGTGTTTATTCTGTAATTATGTTACAGAATAAACAATTAAAAACTGAATATTCATAACAAATAATTACCCACTGCACTATGCATAAGTTGTAGGAATAGTTACTACAATCTCTTTAACACCCAAAGTTTTGGCCATTATAAGCAGAACTGTCTACTTTTTCTTAAGTCTAATATTTGCTTTTTACAGATTTTCTCAAATTCTGCTCAAATCTTTGTGTTGTTTTATAAAATCATTCTACTGGCACTGCATCACCTTTCTGGTTTCTTTCTCTAGTTCTACATTTCCAAAGAAATTAATCAGTGTTGACCCTCTGAGATTCAGTTCTCAAACCTTAATAACGTGATGAAACTTCGTATCTTGATATTAAAATCACTCCCTCTTCTGTGCTCCTCTGGTTATTTTCAGACAATAGCTATGAAGAGACTCGTTTCCTGACCTTTTTCTCATGGAAATACCATACTCAGGCCTAAACCATGAGCTCATTTTCAGTCTGCGCCAAGTCAGGCTCAAACCCTTCAGCCTGCGCACACAAGCTGTCACTCCCACACAGCCAGTCACACAGCACGGCAACAACACACTGACAAAGCTGTCATGATTCTGTGTTGGTCATTTTCTCGAGCCTTGTTCTTTTTTTTTAAACAACTTTCTTTTTTGTCTTGGTGAACATGGTGATTTTCTTGTCTATTTCTAGTTCCGTTCCATACATATTTTACAGACAAAACAGAATTTTCTGTTTTTATAACTGGATTTTTTTATTTTTATTTTTTTAACTTAAATCATAAATTAATGCAGTTCTTCTAGCCTCATTAAAGGACATATGTATGTATGTTTGGATAGTTTTTATATATTTCAGATTATATTAAATTCAGTTTAAGATATTTGGAAAGTGCCATTTCCTAAACATTAAGGACTTCATAAAGTGCAGAGGTAAATTTCGCGTCTGGTCAGGCTCTAGTTCTATGCAAATATTGTGTCCATTAATGTGGTTTTATTGTTTTGAGAAAGAAAATAAACTAACCAAATAAATCTCAGCACTGAATTTAGTTAATGGAATCACAGTTCTGATTTTTTTTTATATAGCCCCAATTCACAATACATGTCATCTTAAGGCACTTGGAGATATTAGATACATAAAATGTTCTGTAAAGGAGAGAAGCCTAGAATAATTTAGCTAATCTGGGAAACGTCTGGATAATTAGCTCTATTAGAACCATAGATTACTTCATTAAAAACATAAACACAGTGAAAAAGATAGCGGACCAGGAAAATTTTGTTGGAAATTGTACACATTTAAATGGTGGCAGTGGCTAAACTAGTTGTTTCACTAACAAGGTAGGGCTCGATGTTAACCATCGCCCGATCGCGCGGGGCAAGCACTTTTTATTGTCGGGAGAGTACAAATTTAATTGCATTTGCCCGCCGGGCGAGTGCAGTGATAGCAAAAAAATTATTTATCACTCAAAATTACTTTAAAATCACAGACATTAGCTGAAAAACGACCCAGCCCGCGCCATTTTTGTTGTTTTGTACACATTCTCGCGTGATTTGAAAAAGACGCATGATTTGAAAAAGCCGCGAGATTTTCCACCAGATGGCGTGATTTTTGTCAACCTAGCGGTAATTTTGATGTAGTTACCAAAACGACAAACAAGCTAGAAAGCGCTATCATATGGCAGTCTTCTGTACAGTGGTCATACATTAAAACATTTTTATGAATTTTTTTTTCTCTCAGACATTGGAGAGGTGCATTTAAATGTTATAGAGCTAAACATATTAAATTGGTGACCTGTTTTGTTATTATTATTGTCTTGTTGCTGCATTTATTTTGTCAGGGAAAACTAATCCTGAGTCAGTTAAAAGTCAGGGAATTCTGAAATTATGTAAGACTGTGGAAACCCTGTATAAAATAACTGTATAATGATTCTCTAGAAAAGTCACTTTATACTAATAGTATTATCTTGTATAAACATACTGGGACTCTAAAATAAGTTATTCATTTGTGACATTGACTTCTATCTTGTGATTTGTCTTAAGTTTTTTAAGCTGTCAAGTTATTCTTTTTAGATTTTTAACATTACAATTTGTATTTTTCCCAAGCACACAACAGTTTAAAGCAAAGTTTAGTTTGAAAAGAATGTGCAGGAAGGATTGAAAGGCATGTTAACACGGTAATGTAGGCTTGAGTTCATTATCTGAGGCATGCATATACACACCAGGAACCTGTAAAATTAAAAATACTGGATTACAAAAAACATTTAAAAAAAACATGTTTCATTGATATATATACAAAAATGAATATTAGGAACTATATTTATCAAACATTATACTGGGCAAGTAAAAATTGTTTCTGGGCAAATGAAATGTGAAAGTCACTTGCCCAAAGGGCAAGTGGTAAAAATCCTTAATGTCAACCCCTGCAAGGTATTTTTATATTTGAATAAACCCGACTGCTCTTTAAAAATTAGTTGTAATAAATACATTCTTTAACACTTCCTCAGCTTTCTCTGAGCATATATCCAAATTGCTTCCTTGTTTTCTGGCTTTGTAAAATAAAGTTGCTTGAAAGCTCCAATATTTCAAACAAAAAAAAAGATAATATAGCAAGAAATGCATGCTTACATTGTTCCGAAGAGATCACATTATGAGGCTTTGGTGAAGCTTTGCATCCATACAGGGAGCACCTCCCTTTCTGACAGTGAGCTGTGTGATAATGTCCAGAGGCTGCTCGGCCGGCGTCTGCTCTGACATTTATGGTCCTATACCTCTTCATTAACACCACCTAACCAAGCAGACCATTCAGCTTGCCCTCCTCCTCTCCTCTGATTCTGTGTGCTGGATAAATAGCTTGTTGTGTGTACATGTGTGAAAAAGTATGTAGATCGTGTCTATGTGCAATACCACAAGTGTTTCATTTTCTCCTTGATGTTTTGTTTCTCTTGATTTTTAACATGATAGACTTGTTTAATATTTATTTTAATTTGCAAAGGATTATTTACTATAGATGTTTGGACTGAACAAAGAATTCTTAGTCACACTTATATAAGATAAATGAATATGAAATTACATCAAGGTTTATCTAAACTTTTTTTGTGCTTTTTTAGGCTGTGGAGTCCCAGATCAGGAGCTTTGGACAGACTCCTTGTCAGTTGCTTATTGAACCGCACCCACCTCGAAGTTCAGCCATGCAAGTAGTAAGTAATGCAACAGCTTGGGTCATGGGGTCAAAAGCCAACTCATGTCCACTATGCTTTTCTGTATCCACACTCCATGTCTTACTTTTCTGCTTCTCCCACTGTGGAAAAATATGTTTTGGTTTTAAGAACATGCCCCCTCTCTCAATATTAGTGAGGTGTGTCTGACAAGAAGAGATTACAAGCATTTGTGTGTATATGCATTTGGTAAAAGGTTTTCTACTGGAAACCAGGATCTGAGCCAGATTTTCCACCTTAGCTGAAAACACAAGATCAGAAAAGGGGGCCTAATAGCTGTTCTGAAGTGATGGCCCTTTAAGGGCCAGGGAGTGCAGTCAGTGGTTCCTGCCTGTGATGGGCCGAGGTCCCATGAGTCCTTATTAGTGTGGTGTCCCTGCGGCGCTGACAGCTGGCTGTGAACCACCACCCATTGCACACACATAGAATCTTATGTTATTCCTTTGAATATGCCGCTTGACTGTGTAGGTGGATGCCTATGAATGTTTTTATTTTTATTTCTCCAAATGTAGTTTTAAAAGGCATCCTGTTCAGACAGCTTTTCAAACTGATGTCTGGCCATATCCAAACCTTTATTTTCATTCTACTCTTTCTTTGCTTCCCTTTTCTGTCCTTTACCTCAAGCGAGTGTGTTGTCAGAGTGTCTGCATCTGCCCATGCTGGTGGTAATGATACTGTCACTGCTTCTAGTTAGCTGTCAGATGAACCGGATTTACCCAGGTCTCTTCCTGATGTTAAACACTGACATTCCTCTACTTTACACACAAGGAGGAAAATAGCTTTCTGTTCAATCTGCTTAGTACAAACACTTCTTAAATTTGTCCTAAACATTGTCTAAGCAAAGGAAGCACCCTGACATGTTGATGAGAGAGCATTTTTCTCCTCCTGTTATATATGTGAAAATGCAGCTTTAATTCAGTAGATTGTAAAAACATCTCCGTATGCATTTTAAACATCTATACATATGCCTCTCAAGCAAGTGTAAATTGAAATAGTTAACAGATATTGTTGCCTTAATGTATTTTTGCCTTGAAATATACGTATATATATATATCATACTATGACGTTACAAGCATGCTCTGTGTTTACGGCAGTACATATAGATGGTAGTTCTTGAGCACCTCTAGCGATCTTTCCCAACCTCAGCCAGTGCGTTAACAACATTCGTGTCGGATTCACGTCCACATAGCCAAGTGGCCTGGGTTGCATAGGAAAAAATTGGATCTGTGTTGTTCAGACTGCCATGAAAAGATGAGATACAGGTTGCATATGTGCAAAAAAATTGGATTTAGGTCGCTTAAGGCTGCTGTGTGAACATAGCCTAAGAGAACTGAACTTGAAAAATACTTAAAAACCTTAATTTTTTAACTAACCTGACCACGATAGATCCAAAAAGAAAACAAGGCAATGTTAGATAATGAGCAGGCACACTAGAAGCAGGTTATTCTGGACAAATGACTCCTTTACTGGTTTATTCTATGTAAAGCTTCAAGTACACTACTATAGCTCAATGAAGCATACCTGGTGTTATTACAGTCCAATCATGCAGAGTCGCTCCCAATTTAATAGGGATCTTGGAGAAAGTGCTGTGCAGCCTAATTGTGGCACTAACACACCACTTCCACATCCCATGGAACCAAACATAAACCTAAGATTATTTGTACACCAGGCAGATTAATATGTAATACAATTTTTATTCCATTTTTTAAATTTATTTTTGAGGTCATCAAACAAGTTATTGCCACATCTCTCTACTAAATGAAAGCAGGAGTAAAAGATCAACATATTCAACACAGAGACCAGGTTCCTTCCAGTAAATGTCCCAAAAATTAGCTGTACTGTGAGAGGGGTAATTATGCGCAAAAATATGTCCCAATATGGACCCAGAGGGACAGCACAGGTGACCCTGAATCCTGAAGCTCACCCAGTGAGCCTACAAAGTCATTAAGATAAAACCTTCTTGAGATGTTAACACACATTTAGGGTGAATCAGTTTATGGATCTGAACTTTCTCAGGAAACAAGCTACATTCAGATGTGAGCTGTACAGAGTCCAAAGTTTTTTGAACAGGCTGTAAAAAAGTCAATTTTATATTGGCCAGCAAATTTTGAAAAGGTATGAAAAAAAGCATTGTTGGAAGCAGCTTACAACAAAGACTGATTAAAACTCTTAACGCTGTCCTCAAGTTTAATTCAAAATCCATCCATTTTCCATCCATTGTCATAATCAACTGTAGAAAATCAATATTAAATAGAGAGAGAAGTTAATAATCTTTTCTAGTATTTTTCTAGTATAGTATTTTATCCTACTTTGCTCATCCTATGAACTTCTATCAAAAGAGATGTTTGATTTCTGAGCTATGAGCTGCTCTGTTCTGGCTTTGCTTGCTGCTGTTAACATCTATCCCTTTCCTAATTTTCTCTTTGTGCTTTTCTTTCCTCTCGTTTTTCTTCTCCCGTTCTCCTTTATGCCACCCACATGGATTGCTTTCCTCAATTCCTTTTGCTTTGCTTCTGCCTCTTCACCCCGTCTGGGACACATTTCCATCTTCTGTTCTTTTGCCCCGTCCCCGGACCCTGAACAGTATCTTCTCCTGCAGACTCCGCTGATGTTTACGGAGCAGATGCAGCAGGATGTTATCATGGTGCTGAAGTTCCCATCCAATTCTCCAGTGACACATGTCGCAGCCAATACTCAGCCTGGTCTTGCGTCACCTGCCATCATCACGGTCACTGCCAGTCGCCTCTTTTCTGTAAACAAATGGCATGGCCTGACAGGTGAGTGGTTTCTGTTTATTAACTATTTTCTTTTCTGTATTTTTGAGGGCTATTAAAAATTCTTGTAATTTTTATTTTCTATGTAAAATCTTTAATTCAAATTTTTTTTTTTTTTACATAATTCTACTTTATATGCCTTTTTCAAGGCACTTTTCCAAGTAGAATACCTACATGATGTATTGATTGTAGTTCAGTTCTGTTGATCATGAAATTTGTTTATCAGTTGGGAAGCCCAACGGTTGAAATAAAGTAATTTAGTCACAATTTTAATTCCTCCTGGACAAGAATGAGGAGGCAGTGGACAGTCACTTGCATTTTTTTTGTTGAATTTGCGGCAATCCCTGATTTGGAGGATCTATTGATCATCAGGCACAGGAAATTTTACCTTGCAAGCAAGATGAAGTGTTGCGTGATATGTGAATGCACAAACTCCCGAAAAAACATCTAGACAGGTGCCAACAGATATGTTTGCCTGCATACAGAAAATTTCAGACCAATCAAATGCAGTGACCAGTCAAGCAGAGGCAGAGGACTGAAGCATAACTAGTTAGCATAAATAGTTGTGCCGATATTAGCTGAAAAATCCACTGTTGCTTTTTAAAAAATTAGCAAAAAGATGTGATTTTTGCCTTTGAGGAGGGGAAAGATGGTAGGTAACCAATAGGTTAGAAGAATTGTACTTAATGTCCCTCCCTTTTGTAAACACTTTGTACAGGAGGCTTCCCAGATCAATATGTATAGTTCCATTTGGATTCTGCAATGTATCATTGTGGCTTAATACAGTTTACGGAGAATTGTCGAATGCAGCAAAAAGTAAAAAAGGTTCATGGCATTAGTGCTGCTTTTGGTGGCTTAATCTATGAAAGAAACAAGTGAACAAATTAGCTCTGAGCCAGCAGTCAAATCTAAATGAAAAAGAGAGCACAAACAGTAAGTCTCAACACAAGGTCAGCCTTTAGCTGTCTAGGAGAGAAAAATAATTTACAAATGCAAGACAAAGGAAACATAAATTTGTTTGCAGTAGCATCTCTGAAATTAATTTTCCTCTGGTGTCACAACTGAAGGGAATACCAGGGCAAATGTACCAACAATGGAGAGAAACAAAAACAAAAATCAAAAGCTGAAACCGCACATTATGCATCATTGGAGAATGGATGTAAAATAAAGCACATTAAAGGAAAGTGGTCCTTATACTATGCCTTCCAGCACCCTAAGCCTACAGCAGCATAATTATAGAGATAACTTATTATAATCTTTCAGAAAGGAAAGTTTTTTTTAGCCAAGTACTAAAAGTAGACAGGGTGTTTACCTAATTGTCAACAAATAGGAGTTAGTTCCACAGGAGAGGAGCCTGATAACTAAAAGATCTACTTCCCATTCTACTTTTAGAAACCACTACTAAAGCCTAAGACCAAACTGCTCCGTTAGGAACAGAAGGAACAACCCAATCTGTGATGTATTATTGACCTTGGTTTTTAGGAGCTTAATGCATAAGAAGGAAGATTTTAAATTCTGGATTAAACATGGAAATAATGAAGAGAAGTATAATTTAAGAGATATGATCTGTGATCATTTTTGATTAGAACTTGTTGCAGCATTTTGGATCAGCTGAATACTCTTAAAATGGATTTTGTGGACTTTCTGCTGATAATTTCAATGTCATCACTCTATTACTTATATGGATATTAGGCTGTCTAATCTCCACAGGATGGACATTGATTTGAGAGACAGTTGACTGTGTCTACCATGCAGCTGTATCAAATGTGACACATGTAGCAGCCAGCATTAGGTCTGATGTCCACTTCCATACATCAACCAACCACTTTGCACAGTCTTATTTACTCAACATTAATGCAACTCTAGAAAAAATAGATTGTGAGGATAAATAAACGTACATGGATAAACTAATCTGTTTTTGTGGGCAATGAACCGCATTATGTAAAAAATAGATTTCGCTTTTAATTGTTTTTACTGTAGTTTAGGAGATTGTATTAAAAAGTTCAAGCAGTGTCCAGATAACCAACCATAATATTTTGCTCATTATTTATTTTTACTTTACTTCCACATTCCTCCACAGAAAAATACAAAAACTTTAACTTGAATACATTTGCTTATATTGCAAATATGATTATAAAAATGATGAGTTCAGTTTAAAGTTAGTATTTCTGGAGTGATGCTGAGGTCTGATTGTTAGGCAGTATATATCTTCTTTAGTAACATTCTGACATAACTGATGTATAATTCATAGGAACAGCCCTGTGCCAGTGAGTCAAATTATAGCATTATTGTTATAGTTTCCTGTCTGTTGTAATGATCTTGAATGCAGCTTCTGTTTCACAAGGCCACTCAATTACAATAATAATCCAATCTGTCTTCTCTGTCAGGTCATCAGAACACTGGGGAGCAGCAGTACCAACTTCCTGTGGAAATTGACCCTCTGATAGGTAAGCTATCATTTATGACTACTAAGGAATCCACACACACTTGAGTATGAACCTGTTTATGCATGAAATGAAACTCTATGTGGATTTGTGCGTTGGGTCCTGTTGGCATCCTCGTGACGCATGGCGCTCAGCAGTCGTGTCCCTGGACAGTAGATTAGAGTTGTTTCTCAGCCGCTGCCCCAGTTCACTCCTCATGATATAGGCCCTGCTCTTTCACTAAACCATTTGCATGCAAATTGGAATGCAATGAGCTGTGGCTTAGGCCAGCATTTCATCATCAACTCCCCCTCTTTCTCCCTCCCTCCCCAGTCCTCTCTTCCTCCCTCCCTCCCCTGCATCTTCTTTGGTTTAATTCGAGCAGAGGGAAAGGACGTGTGTCACTGGAAATGAATATGAATGTGGTAATAATGTGTGATTGAGAATGCACGGCGGACGGCTGTCAGGACAATATGTGCGCCTCTCATCCTTCACGACTTGTTGATGAGCAGGAGAAGAGTGCCGAGTTGCAGTGATGTATGGGATGCTCCGATGGAGCAGCGAGAAACGCGCCTCCTCTGTCTGCCTGCTACCACCTCTTACAGCTTCTTGCAGTTTCATGCACATCTGCAAAGGGGACTGTTCTTTCTCTGCATATGTTGTGGTCACCATCATTCTCACGAGACAATTTCAGAGCCATTTTTTTCCCCCTAACACTTGACTACTGAAATTATCCAGAGGTGATTCTCTGTTATTCATCCTGATCTGCACATTCACTTCTGTAGTTGCTGTTTAAATGATAGGAAAGTAATCTTTCTCTAAAAGCTTTTCAGTACTACATATTACTAAAATGTATTTTAGTATTACCTTTCAGTAATTATATTATCGTTATGCTCCAGTGGATAATGTCTAACACTAAGGCATAATTTTTTTTGGGAGTGTGCGCACATTTTGGGGGAGGTAGCTGGGAGTTTTGCTCTTGTCAGTAATATATTTACACTGTTTGCATTCCAGGAGGAGCCTGAGCTAAACACAGTAAATTGAGGATGAACGTTCAGCCATCTGTGGCTCTGGGGAATGTTAAAAAAATGAAATATTAGTAGAAGCAGATACTCTAAATGTTCCAAGTGTTACCTGCTCCTTCTTGTGTTTGACCCCATTAAGTAAGAAAAACAACATTTTTTCTTGTAACCGCATAGACATAGAAAGATAGCACTTTCTATGAGATAGCACTTTAGTAAATGGTATCAGTAAATCAGATATGCAGTTAATGATATTTGATCATACCAAGATGAAGCTTGTGTCTACTCTGGTTTGAGTGGGGTTCCTTTTGTAAAGACTATCCACACTGGGACATTATTCAGACTCTTAGGCCCTCATGGAAACCGTGTAGTTTCCATAAACTTAATCTCCAGAATGTTTTATGTGTTCTCCCACAAATCTTCCTCACTCTGAAGCTTTGGTGGAGGAGCATCAAAGTGTGGCCTCTTCGCTGTTTATCCTCAGAGTGTTTGTTGGATCCCTCTGTGAATTTTGTCATCCGTGCATTTTTGACATATAAGCTACTGTTTGTCTCTTTCAGCAAATAACGTGGGCTCTCATCGGCGTCAGATCTCAGACCTTCTGGATCAGAGCATCCAGATCAGCTCGCAGTGTTTTGTCATCACTGCCGACAACCGCTTCATCCTGCTGTGTGGCTTCTGGGACAAGAGCTTCCGGGTTTACTCTACTGACACAGGTAATGTATAGAGGAATGGAGTGGATCATTCTGGCTCAGACTCAGGAGCACTCCTAATTTTGTTTCTCGCTGCCCCAGAAGCAGTAAAAGAAGAAGTTATTGCTTAATTTTTTTAAGAATTTGGATGGTAGTCATCTCGTAATGTATTCAATTGTCTAAGTACAAGTTCTGATTATAATCCAGACATACAGTATTTACATACATGCCATACATATCCATCTAGAGACATATAATACCCCATAATTCTGCTTGCAGCCAAAGATGATATTTCTAGGTATTGATCTTTAGGGCTTGTATCTAAATCCATGCCAACCTTTTCTGATTTGGGTTTTATGAATTTAAATTAATCTGGATTTTCTTCTGTATAGCACTTAATTTATATTATCTGGATTTATGTCTGGAAAGTTCCTTTACATTTAGATAAAGTCTTTTAAAATAGGTTTTCAACTTTATAAAATGTAGAAAATCTCAAGTGGTGTAAATACTTTTGTACGAAAAGCCTGGAGGATCAAAGCAAAGAGCTCTTTAATGGCGTACGCTGTACATGGAATGTCCTCTGAACTTCAGTACAATGCCCAGCATTTATACCTGAATACCATTAACGTAATACCTGCATGCACATGTCCAATTTAAACATTTTACACACACGCACCAAAAAAAAATGCCATGAGGTCAGGGGTCCTAAATGAAACTGTCTAAAGCTTCATCTCTGTACCCAGTTCCCTCTGCCTCATTCAGAATACTACATGCATCTATACAACAGACTCGATTCAATTTCTCTACAGGCCAGGCCCTCCTTGTCTTTTTTGGAGGAGGGAGCCGAGGGGGGAAGTGAGAACATGGAGATAGCTCTATTGTGTTGCTGCCACCAGGGTGTGCGACTGAAACGTGAGCGGAGTTTAATAGAATGCGGCTCAACAGCTGCCACCAGCGCCCCCAATTCCCCCAGGTTAAAGGGCTACTGGATTTTATCAGTTACAAGACCTGATTTGGGGCTCATGCATAAAAAAACAGCCTCAAACGCCAGCGTGCAGAAGTGAGTGCATAACTGCGTGTTTAACCTGAGGTGCATGGTAGCCATTATTGCAGCAGCCATCATTACTTATTTCCACTGTTTATGAGAATGTCAAACATTTCACATCTTTGATGTCTGTGTTCTTCTTGGGGAGTTAAGTCTTTGACCTGCTTCAGTTTCATAATATTCAACATCTTTTTAGGGGGAACCATTTTAATTGTGACACAAAGACAGAAAGTGTCACTTGTGTTAAAGTATCATTTGTTTGACTGCAGGGGTCACACTACGACGAGCGTAATGGGTATTAGACGGAGACAGTGGAGCTGTGGTCTTGAAATCTGACAGCAATTAGCCTCTTTACATATACACATGTTGGACTACGCACATACACACCAATTTGGAATGAATATTTATTCATGTCTGGGAATTAACTAGTGTCTGCTCTCAGGTCAGTCAGATGATCAACTCATGATGGCAACTTAAACAATTGCATCTGTCAGTTAGGTCATATTTTATTTGTTTGAGTGAAGGTTGTAAGGGCTTTACCATCTGTTTTTGGCTGTACATCTAGTCGCTTTTTCTTTTTTTGATAGTCAGGATTTCTGCAGTTTACATCAGAAATATTCTTAAATGTAGCCATCAGAAAAGATTTCAAATTTTAAATATGTTTAGTTTTCAATAATTACTCTTAAATTAAATTTATTTGCTCTTAGAATTTCACTTTTTTTAAATTTTCACTTTTGTATTTATTCTCTGTAGTCATAATTAAGTACAGTTTGAAAGCAATCCTGATAATGATGAAAATCAGCAAACAGCTTGGTCTAAAGAAATTGATTCTGCAGCATTCAACATGTTTGCTTTTAACTGATAAAAAAAAGGACAAAGGTTTGCATTAAAATCATGAATTTATCTTATTCTTCTTTGATTTAATTATTATTTAAATTAAATAATCCATTTTCTCCTTTCCAGACTACCTTATTCAGTAGAGTTTATATTTATTGAGACAACTTTTTACTTGTCTTCTAAAACCTATTATCAAAAATCCTTGCAATTCTTACTAAATGTGTAAAAGTTTTGTAACACATTGTGCAAAAAAAACTGGGCCAGTAACAGCAACATTGCTGACTAAATAAGTATTGTACAGAGTGAATTACTTGTTTTAATTTCTCTTTTTATGTTTTTGTAAGTATTTATTTAGTCTTTTGAAATTTGCAGAAACATTTAGAATATTTCTGAAATTGTACTTAAGCCTATGCTTGGCTTTTCATCCAGAGGATTTATCCTAAATATTAGAATTAAACAGAAAACTACAAATTAACATATATTCAGATAGTATCTATAGATTGAGTAAAGCAATTATGTCTCCACACTACTTCCAACAATCTTAGTATTAAATGCCCTGTCCTCTGTATTTATTTATTTGATGTTCAGGCTAAACCCTTCTCTGTTTTTGCTGTGCTTGCAGGGAAGCTGACTCAGATAGTGTTCGGACACAGGGACGTGGTGACGTGTCTTGCTCGCTCCGAGTCATACATCGGAGGAGACTGCTACGTCCTGACTGGTTCCAGAGATGCTACCCTGCTGCTGTGGTACTGGAATGGAAAGCACTGCAGCATCGGGGAGAGCCCAGGGAGTAAGTCCACATCCCAGAAGCACACACAGAAACACACACTCTGAGCGCTCGCCCTCACAGACAGTCCTGTGATTTTCAAGACTCTGTGATTTACAGCCTTCTTTAGTGAAGTAACAACTAGTTTCATCTAACCAGCCCAGGCCTCCTCCGTACAGATTGGATTTCGCAGCTCTGCAGGACCAGGAACAGCTTTTCGATAAGGTTTTGGGAACTGTGTGCTTCAGTGAGGTCAGATAGTGTGTGTGGGAATCTGTCTTTAATGTGAGTGAAAGTGAGGGCCACTTAGAGACTTAAATGTGAAGTTGCTGGGGGTCGTCGGCCAGCACATGAAAGTTCCCTACCATTGGAGGGCCACAGGGTCAGGCTGGTTGATAAAAGTGAAAAATGTCACGGGCCTCCCTCGCGTTACCATAACATATGGCATCAGCTATGATCAAAGCATGGCCGCCACATTGCTCAGCCCTTGGCCTCCTTGGTGCTAATTTGGTCGGCTTAGATTGCCGAACATGTTGTTAAGTGATCCATCACAAATGGGATGAATTTTATGACAAATTGTACTTTGTTTAATAAGTCATTCTGGTTTTCCTATATTAGAACGGGAGAATGATTATTAAAAAAGGTGAATACATTTTATAAGTTGCGGAAACAAATTGAAGTAAGCATTTTTTGAGAACAAAAAAAATGAGACTTTTAAATTTATTAAGATTATTCTAGCGGTTTGTCCTAAAAAAGCTGCATCTCTGTTTAAGTTTAGCTGGCTCTGTCTTTCAGCCGGATGAGCCAATCCCAATGTAAAGCTCCATTGCCCAAGTCTGCAGGAGGCTGTTTCTTTCTCCCAGACACGATGTTCTGCTGCACGCCCAAACACCCTCACACACTGATGATCACCAAATCCAGGCAGACCCTTCTTTAATCTGCTTCCAAAACCAAAAATGACTCAAAAAAGCCCCCTAAAAGGAACCCTTCGTACTCTAAAAGATGAGAGCACACACTTACAAAAAGATTCCAGCTCAGTCCTAATGACTTGCAGACATCTTGCACACCTCATAAGCTCGATGCAAGTCCGTCTGAGTGGCTGAGACGTTCACATGAACACACTGCTCTATGAACTGGTGGTTTGTCCTCTGATCTGTGTAGTTCTTAGATACACTACTGCCATCTGCTGGAAAACAGAAATAGATTCATCTGAAAAGCTGCTTTTATGATATTCAGAAATGAAAAAATGTAACATTTTTGTAAGCAGTACCATTTTCTTTTAAATAAAACATCTTTGATTTAACCTGTTAATGATCTCATATACAAAGTGATGCAATCTTTATTCAAATAACTTCAAAGTTGTTCTCTCTTCCAAAACTAAAGGCAGAAATGAATCCAAATACATCAAAATCTAATTATTTAAAAAAGAAATTCAGATACATGTAACATGTTTTATCCTTTTGTCTATTTTCATATGATTTCTACTCATCAACTTTGCTTACAAAGGCTTAATTACACTGAATGCTGATGAAAAACTGTTTAATTGGTGCGGCTTAATTTCTGTGCAGTTAGAAGCTAAACATGCTAAATAAATAAATAAAATCTTTATTTTCTAATAATCAACTTCTAATAATATATGTTTACAAAACAAATATAATAAATAATGAAAATGATTAACACAAACAAGAATTATTATATTATCATATCAGAATTATTGTTTTTATGTTAATAGTCTTTGCATGTATATTTAAGAAAAACTCTCTTATGCATTATTCAAGTTTTACTCAGAGACATCCCACTCTTCCAAATAGGCTAAATGAGCAAACTTTCAACTGTGTTTTAATCACTTTAACCTACATTTGCTGAATTTGTCTCCAAGACTGTAGACCAACCCCCAACAGTAATTAAATATCCCTACTGACTCCTCTAAATATTTCTCATTTACATAATTTCTGGTCTGTTAATGGCAGCTGTGACCAATTAATGTCCCCGCGTGTATAATACGGGCATACATGCACACACAGACAGCTGATAGCCTCCTCTAAATCTGAGCTTTGGTCACCTACAGATCATGTCTGTAATTCAAACCAAACTTGAGCTAAAGGCTCCAACCTACTCTAGTTTGTTCACTTTATCAGCTTTAAGGATCTGCACAGGGTGAAATCCAGCTTTACTCTCCAACTTAGCGGCTTACAGGTCATGTGTTTGCTTTTAGTGAGAATGAGGCTGTTAACAGGATGAAATGTGCTTGTTTGGGCTGCTGCTCTGTAGGAATCAGTGAAGTTTGGTTGGCTGTGAAGTGGATAGCTTGATTTAAATGTCAAAACAATGAACTGGAATTTTAATGATATAAGGTCGATTATCAGTGACAAATTTTCAGCTGTTTTGATTTTATGATATCAAAACTAGCAAATACAGAAACGTTGTTCCTAATGAGATGTTTAGTCATTAAAACACCACAATATTTATAGCACTATTCATATGGTTTTGATTGATCGGAAGTATTGCTTTGTGTAATATTAGAGAGCACGATGGGCTCTATAGCGTCTATCTGCTAAATTTGATTAAGGTGTTTCAGTAGCCGTGGCTTTTGGGAGAAAGAACCTGCCCTATTAGTGACGCTTTATTGAGTTGGTGTCGTATAATTGAATTAGGACAGGAACTGGATTCGCTCAGCAGTTTAAATGGCAGGTTGTAACTAGCGCATTCCAAAAAGTGTTGTTTGAAACTGCTCTTTACATTGAGGACGTGTTTGTATGAGAAACGTTTATTTTTTCAATCACAAACTGAGAGGATGTTTTAAATTTAAATGGACTATTTCAAATGAAAATTTGTTTCGTTGGACAGATGCAATACCTCGTAAAATGTATTTATCCCAGTTTTTTGTTTCCAGATATTTTGTGGTTGCAACAATATGGTTTTCAAAAATAAAAAAAAAATCTTTTTCCAAAAGATGTTTGCTAAAAATTATATTGATACCCCTTTACCCTTAAAGAAAGTCCTGTGTAACCATTGTCTTCACAATAAACCCAGTAATTAAATAAAATCTCAGTTTGGTTCCAACTGTCCCTGGAGCTTTCAGCTGTGGAACGATTATGAGTGACCAAATGAAAAAGGTCAAGGAACACGGTGATAAAGGTCAGTTTAAACAACTAACAAAACAAGCGTTCAACATCTTTTGGAGCTTTGTTTAATTTACCATTGATAAATATAGTGTTTACAACAATAATGAACCTTCCAAGGCACCAGATATAACCTATTGTTGACATTCATTACCTCCTGTTTTCCACAGCCCTGTTTTCAACAGAGCATCTATGTGAAATAAGTTGTCCTGGTCAGATGAGTCCAACATGGAAATACTTGATCTACAGGAAAAATTGTGTATATGACAGAAAACAACTCCATGTATGACCCTGAACACACCATCACTGCTGTAATAAGTGGGGGTGCCAGCTTCATGCTTGCAGCTGTTCTTCAGCAGGGACTGGAAAACCTGCAAATGTTACTGATAATTATGATGGCAATGAATAGAGGTCATCACAGACTGCTAATGTCTAAAAACCGGGACGGAGGTTAACCTAGAAGGCTGAATATCAACCCACAGCTCTGAAGTAGCTGTGGGTTGAGAGCAAGGCTTGATCAGGTATTTAGAATGACCCAAAGTCTAGACCACAAAAACTAGACTGGCCAGACTAGAAACTGCTGTTTGAATGTATTCCTCTCAGTCTAGTACAACAAAATAAAGCTACCCCCAAAAAACATTCAACTTGAATTGGACCAAAATATGGTTTGACGATTGATCTGCTCAGGATGGCTAAAAATAAATCCTTGCTACGCTTTCTTGTTTTTTATTACAAAAAGGTTTTAAAACCTTTTCATTCACTTCACAGTAACTTGCTAGTTTATCAGTTTATCCAGTTAAAAACAAATTGATATTTATGGTTACAATGTGACAAAATTTAGAAACTGTTCAGAAAAACAAATGTTAGTTTTAACAGATGACTCCCAGGCTGTGTTTTTAGTTTCTGAAGCTGAACTTGACCTTCAGGAGGTAATGATGGGGTTTCCTATTAGGAGATCCCTGCCTGGAGCTCTGAACCAGATCTGAACTCCAAAGTGTTGGACTCACGCTGGTGACCTTCACATTTTCCTCTGTTAAACCCAATTCAGTGCATCCAAACACTAACCAAATGTACACAACAAATTCACTGTCACTAATTCATTTTTGTTTACAATTACATGTATTGTAACGAAACATAGGCTTTCATATATGCCTCTATGCAGCGTCACGTCTGCTGACAAGCAGAAGACGGATGGAGGGATTACTGAGGATTTTGTTTTGTCATTTGCCCAGACGGCTCAAACCAAAACAAAATTACACAAATTTCATGACTTTAGTCTGGGCCCCACTGGCTTTTTGTTGCACTGCTTGCCTTGTGCAGAAACATCTGGATCCAGTGAGGGCAGTCATGGTGAGAAGGTTTAAAACACAGGAGGAGGCTGAGTGTGGGAAATCTCTTGATGTGAAACAAAATGGATTCAAATCTTCAAAAATGCAACACATAACAAAAACATGAACAATTACTCATAATACGAAGCTTTCGCTTTAACTTCACTGCTGGGTTTAACCAAAGCTGAATCTGTTTGAGCCTCCTATTCCCCCTAGTGACAGTAAAGTGGTAGCACATGTGATCTAGAAAAAGTCAGAGCTTAAATGTTCTTGGTTTTCCAGCAGGGTTTACCACACCAAGAGCCATCCTGACCGGCCATGACTGCGAGGTTACCTGTGTCAGCGTGTGTGCCGAGTTGGGTCTTGTCATCAGTGGCTGCAAAGGTGAGAGCAATCATTTCTTTAAATCAATTCAGGAACTTACTCTCATCAATCTGGTCATTTTAGGAGGAGACACTGCTGTACAATCAGTCTACAGTCTTATTGATCCACCCTTCACGTTTACTATATCAGGTCTATATTGAGCTTTTATTTGATTAAAATGGAAAAAAAAAAATTAGGTAAAATAGTTTTTGAATGTTTGATTTTATTTTGATTTGGATTATTAGCATTAGTTTGACTGCCTTTGTTATCATCAGCAAAATTGGAATTCAGTTTCTCTACATTTCACTCTTTTTCTTTTCCTGGTTTCCGTCACCCTCCAAGTGCTTTTAGCTTGATCAGTATTGGAATCAGTGTGTTTCTACTGGCTTCATTTGAAAATGAAATATAGAAATGCTGCAAGGGCTGTTGTTGAGTGTCTTTCCTTAATAAAAAGTTAATCTCTTTGGCATCATGTTGTTGCCAAGAACTTTGCCTTTCTAGACTTTGAGCCAAACTACTGGAAATGTTTTTGCAAACCTTTGTGTTATTTAGACACATCCATAACATAAAAACCTAAATAATCTTTAGAAATAGTTCTGTTAAGGTGCTCTTACTTCATGAAAGTGAGTGGTTATAGTAATATAACACCCCAATGTGTAACTCCCTCTCCTCAATAGTAAAAAGCAGTAGTGTAGCATTTTAAAAAGTCGATGAATTCAGAGGAATTTTTTACCTTTTTGTCGTCTCTATATTATGCAGTGTTGTTTAGTCTTAAATGCCCTCTTCTTGTGGAAAGTCAAGGATTCTAGTCCGGTGTATTATCAATAAATTATTTCAAGCTAATGCAAACGGTCATCATCGTGACATGAAGGTTTAGATGCAGGTTCTCTAGACTTATGCTGCCATGAGAGCAAAGTGTGGTCACACCACATTTGTTCTTTGACTGCATTTGATTGATAAATGAAGCAACTTTTAACAATTAAATTACCAATGCATAATGCATAGTTGTCTAAAGCTGTTGTAGAGAGCTGTAAGTCTGAAGTGATAACCACAGACAAAGGTTTATTTTGTGTTTAAGTCAACATTTGTCTTGTTGGGATCAACTGTCATTGATCTTCATGCACCTGAACAACTAGAAGAATTCACATAATTAGTTTCATGCAAAGACCACAACATTTTTGCTGCCAGACCTTTTTATACGATGCCTTTGGTAAAGAAACAGGCCCATGGCATCATAGGTTCTCCACCATGCCTAGCAGTGTTCATAATGGGCCTTTTCACTCTTCATCCTTTGGGGTGTTTGGCATTTGAAAACCTAATTCTGCTCCCGTCCGATCATAGTATGCGGTTGTAGTTAAAGTTAAAGTTTGGTTTAGAAAGTTTCTTTGCTGTGATTGGCAGAAAAAAGGCTTTTCCTTGATACTTTTTCCTAAAAAAACACACAGATCATGTATGCCTTTGCACAATAGAATAATCCTAAATGAATACCCAAACCTGTGTGTATAAATTAGCTCCTTGTATTTAACCTCCTCATGTCATCTATCCTGTGTGCAGAGGGTCCTTGTCTGATCCATTCCATGAATGGAGACCTGCTTCGGACCCTTGAGGCCCCTGAGAACTGTCTGCGTCCCAGACTCATCCATTCCTCCACCGAAGGCCATTGCTTGATTTATTACGACAAAGGGCAGTTCTGTCTCTTCAGCGTTAATGGCAAACTGCTCAGACACATGGAAGTGGAAGACAGCATCAAGGTGAGGATATTCCTGTTTCTTCTCAGGTTTACCCAAGAGAGTGCACTCATATGTACGTCGGCACCACATCTGGGCCAAAAGTCCTTCTGATTAAAGGCTGGGACTGGATCAGAGATGTGAGTGAGGTGAAGGTCAGGGGGACTGAGGACAAACTAGGGCTTCACATCTCTCTCTCCCTATTCAACAACAGCCAGCAGAGGAAATGGTCCATTTGATCCACGGCTCTGTTGTCAGGTCCGATTGCGACAGTGGTGGAAAGCATTTCCGAGTAGTGGTCAGTCCTGGACTCCAACACCATTAACTACCCTGGGGTGCAGGACGACACATTCCCCACTGCCCACATTTCCTCCCTGGTGGCTGAAGTGACACAAGATAGCGACTACCGCCTTTGCTTTCCAGACCCTTTTGTTTCCGGTTTGGCCTGGGAAATGTAAGCCAGCTCTGACAGGCAGCTGCACGCCTGTTTCCTATTAAGAAACCTCTAGTGCCCGAGCTCCTAATCTGCCAAGCGGCCCACTCCAGCAAAGCCGCAAATACACGGAAACACTGATTGAGTGCATTACTAGCTCTGAGAAAGTAGCGAGTGTTTAGTTTTGAGCTTTCCTATTTTTCCTCTGTGTGTTTAAAAGACACTAATGATGTTTTTAGGTTTGCTTTGTAGTTTTCCCACACTTTTCCTGCACAGATGTAGCAGAGAAACAATGCAGGCTGCAGCCGGTCTTGACAACTCTCCTCGGCTGTTGTAAAGTCCTTCCATGTCAGATGGCATTAGGAAAATCCTAACATCTTGAATTCAGGCTGTGTGAGTCTTAGCTCCACCCTCCAGACCCAGCAGTATATAGTGCACTCATGTACACACCAAAATCAATCTTCTCTGCCCTCTGAGCCTCGGCACAGTATGACTCCAGGATAAATAACTGTTTGTCCTGGCCTGCATTACGCACTTGGAAACAGAGAGCTAAAATGTATGCACTTTGACTTTATAGAGGTCTGGAGTCAGAGGCAGGATGACAGCCTAACAGTCGGCATCCTGCTCTAATAGTAGATTTGGGTGATGGAGGCCATGCTGAATAGATTACATTCTTTTAAGTTATAGTAAGACTCAAGCAGTGTAACCATCCCTGGAGTTTTTGTAACTGCCTCTGTCAGAGTAACAGGAGGGGTGAGGGCACCATAAATTAAAAGTTTTACTTTCTCCATCCCTAAATCCACCAAACAATCTCTGAAATATGGGCGGGAATGCTTCACATGTTACTGCAGTTCTTTTTTTTCTTTCTTTTTAAAGTCATCTGAGCTCAGTCGGCCATCTTGGCCCCTACAGAGCCATCGGCCATCTTGTTTGGCTGCCCAGTGGCAAAGGGCTGATTTATAATGTCTGTCTGCAGCCTCCTACCTGGCTGAGCTGACATGTCTGCCAGCTCTCCTGCTTCCTGCTGTGCTGCACTGAGGTCATAAACTCCCTAACAGAGAGCATCAGAGTACATTAGGCTGCTACTTCCCTTCTTTTTACTGTTTATTTGTTAGGTCGATATGCGGAACATAAAAGGAAAATAAACAACTTGAATAGTCATGCAACGATTTATTTCTTAAAAATAAGCTGTTGTAGAATCAATATACAGCACAGGAGTGCAGCTATATGATTTCAATAGGCTTCCAATTCATTCATGATTTTCTCTAATCTAAAGTCAAAATTATATACACACCTGCAAAAACATTCAGTTAAATCAGGCATCCCCAAACTCGGTCCTCGAGGGCCGCTGTTCTGCAGGTTTTAAATGTTTCTCTGCTCCAGCACAGCTGATTTTAATTGATAGTTGATTAACAGGCTTTTGCTCTACTGCAATCATCATAATCAGCTGTGCTAAAGCAGGGAAACCTCTAAAATCTGCAGGACAGCGGCCCTCGAGGACCGAGTTTGGGGATGCCTGAGTTAAATGCTTGACCAAGAGACAGATCTATTTCATGAGCCCCATTTACACTACCTTTTTGAAACCTTGCCTATACTGAACTGTTGAGGGTAAATGACATGCAAAACTGAATCAGACACAACCGAACCTCGCTAAACCGGTACTAGTTCATCAGTAGGGCTCAATGTGTGTCAGTTCTGGCTCAATTCTCAGATAATAAAGAACGCATCTCTTTACAGTCAGCCTCCATAATCACGACATTTTAGACATTCCTAAAAGTACTAGATTCCCTACTGTGCCACACGATTTCCAGTGATGATTCTGCTTAGCAGTGTGATGAACCTCAATGTCTGTTATTGTTTCCTGCGTCTGTAAGCCCTGATTAGACTATCGTTTGTTGTATCCACTTCCCAAAAGCCGACTCTGTCGAGGAAATTCACCAAAGGCTGCCTTCTTTGCCTGACTCTCCTCACAGAATGAAATATCACAATTATAACCAAAATTGCTGAATGTTAGCACTGCCATGTTGATTGCTTGTTTCCCCCTAGCAGTACTACCGTAGATCGTCACTAGTACGTGAGAAACCGTACTAGCTTGTACTCGTACTCGCACTTGTTGTCTCCCGCTTTATCCGGAACCGGGTCGCGGGGGCAGCAGACTAAGCAGAGACTCCCAGACTTCCCTCTCCGCGGACACCTCCTCCAGCTCTGCTGGGGGGAAGCCCTAGGCGCTCCCAGGCCAGCCGAGAGACGTAGTCTCTCCAGCGTGTCCTGGGTCGTCCCCTGGGCCTCCTCCCGGTGGGACGTGCCTGGAACACCTCCCGAGGGAGGCGTTCAGGGGGCATCCGAAGAAGATGTCCGAGCCACCTAAACTGACTCCTCGCGATGTGGAGGAGAACCGGCTCTACACTGAGCCTCTCCCGAATGACCGAGCTCCTCACCCTATCTCTAAGGGAGAGTCCAGCCACCCTGCGGAGGAAGCTCATTTCAGCCGCTTGTATCAGGATCTCGTTCTTTCGGTCATGATCCAGATTTCATGACCATAGGTGAGGGTAGGAACGTAGACCGACCGGTAAATTGAGAGCTTTGCCGGTCTGTCGTGGTGAAGAGAGAGCTGAGCGAAAAGGTATCGGGGAATCACACTTCTCAGCCTCCCCGGAAAGGCCTATGCCAGGGTGCTGGAGAGGAGAACCGTACTAGCATGATGTGTAAACGGTCGTAAGGAACTGAGCTTGACACGGTTAACTGAGTTAAGTTCGGTCCGAACTCGGCAAGGATCGGTTTTAGAGGATACTGAAAATGGGGCTTCAGGTATCAATTAGTCTTATTTGGCTATTTTTCTAATCAGAACTTTTCTAGTTTATTTAAACTGGTTTGTTTCTTTGGAATAAATCCAAGTTTTAAGCCCAGTAAACACATTTTCAATAGAGCTTTCTTCATGGCTCAGTTATCCTGTTCAGTTTAACCACTGTGGTATCATGAACTTGTTAGATCACATGTGTTAAAGTTTTAACCAGGTAGCCCAACCTCCTAACTCTCGAAAGCAAGGCAACTAATGATGATGTTTGTAGAAATAGATAGAAAATCTAGGAATCACTAATTAAAACCTACATAAGAGGTGGTAGAAACTGTTGCCTGGTTATATTCTACAAAAAATGTAGTTTGCCTTTATTCAATACAGCGCAGGGATTCACTGTTAGATCTCTTTCCACACGTGCTGAAATACATGTAAGGTCTCTTTTCTGTGGAAAATCAGGCTGTTAAATTTTGATAGATCTATATACACTTATGTTGTTCTGCAGCAGATTGGTTAGATTCATTCATTGCTGCAAGCTTTACAAACTTAAAAAAGGATGTGGCAAAGTTTTTTTAAAATTTATTTAAACAAATCATTTCCTCAATTTTGTCTTTTTATCCGTGGTTTAGGTCTATTTGTTTTCTTTGTAAATGAACTTCCTGAAAACGACTCATTCCAGCTTTAAGTTTCGTTTTTTTCCATTAAACTCTGCCTAATTTAAAACACATGCCTTTGATGACTGAAGTGCTGAATCACCGCACAAAAACAGTGTCTATAGCTAAAAGACGTCCTAACTTCAGGAAAACTTCATAAAACCGCAAACGACAGAAGCCCTCAGTGTTGTCTGCTGCCTCAGAGCGCACTCTCTGCCTCGTCATTTCATGGGCTACGGTTTCTGGCTGATTGATGCTGCTGACTGTTTGAGTTTCAGCTTCCACTATGTACCGTGCCCCTAATGGTCTCCAGCACATGACTTGATTTGTGTTCATCCGATTCCTGAGGGAGCCGTTGGGCTGCTGCAGTTTGCAAGAAAAGCAGATGAGAAAAGTAAATCTCAGAGTTCTGCTGTTGGGGGACATTTTTAGTTAAGTGTATAAGTCTGTGTACACAATATGCGATTATTTATTGGATCAGGACGCCTAAAGTGTGACGTTTACTTTGTCACTACACATAATCTGATGGCATATTATCAGGCCTTCATACAGCTGAAACAAGACAAACCAGAACAAAAAAATTGACTAAACGTTTAAGATCAGTTAGGATTACTACAGTGGTTTCTGTTGCTAAACAACACAATAATGAGCAAAGTTGTGTTTTTGTTCCCTTAAGTTTACATCAAATATTAGTAATTATTTTAATATTTATAGTTTCCCAGAAGTATTTTTACCAATATAAGGTAAACTCTACATTATGTTTACACACCTCAGAGGGTATTATTGGCATTTTTTAATGTTTTTTTCCAGAATTGTTAAATTAAAGCAGCAATATATATCAATATTCTGAAAAAATATCAATGATTGTGTGCTGTTCAGTGATTAAATTGCATTATTTGATATCAGAGGTGCTCTCTAGTAGCAGAAGCATTATGTTCTTTGCTGTAGTTTGTTTAAAGAACAGTATTTGTGTTTGTTGAGCTTTGATAGCATTGATGTGCCGTGCAAGACATTTAACTTAATGCAGGAAAAAGAGTACATTCAGTTTGAAATTCTTTTTATCTTTAGTTCTATTATTACAATAAATACTATGAAATAATAAGGAAAAAGTTTCAGTCCATGTCTCCTCCTCAACGTCGGCACAGAGGATGGTGTTCTCTGGCTGTGAAGTTCCTCTTTTGCTTCTGAATATGATGCACATTATACACAAAGTCTTGAATTCTACCTTCCTCACATCATGGGAGGTATCTAGAAAATCTATGGCTGTGTCTGAGAGTCCGCCCTAACCCCTAAAACTGTCAATCATAATATAGAGCAGAGACCATATACTGCGACTTTACAGTAAACTCAGTTAACTGACCATTCAGACAGTTGATTACTACTTTTCCCTCCCCTTTGATCACGTGAGTCTGTTTCCTCGTATGGTGTGTTCTCCATCTTCGTTATTTCTAACCCCCAAAACAAATCCCATGCTGCTATGTGAGGAGAAGTCTTGTAAAGCATTCTGTGATATATCTGCTCCTCTAGTAACTATGGATACATGCTACTTTTCAAGGTGTATGGTGGCAAATCTTAAGTAAACTACTTTTTAATCCTAAATGACATAAATCCAACTTGTAATATCAGACAGGAAGGAAAACGTTTCTCTTTTCATATACTGTACTGTATGGAAACATCTGGTTTCAACTGTGTATGTTTTTTTTTCTCATTTCTACAAGAGGAACAGTAAAACAAACTGAAATCTGTGTGAGCATTAACAGGCTGGATGCATTGTGCTGAATAATAATAATACTAATGGGTGTATTTCTTATTGGCAGGCCATGCATCTGAGTCGAGACGGTCAGTATCTACTGACAGGTGGAGATGGAGGTGTTGTGTCCGTCTGGCAGGTCTCTGACTTCAAACAGCTCTTCACCTACCCTGGCTGTGACGCAGGAATCCGATCCATGGCGATGTCACATGACCAACGGTAAGACTTGGATCCAGAGAAACCATAGCCTGAAATGATTAGTAATCCCTGCAGTGCAGTTAGCAAAGCTTAAGTTCACTGAAGGGATCAGAGTGATGCATTATAGATATTTATCAGTTTTCTTAAATTAGAACACATTCTGTCTCACTTTTTAAACACTCTGGATGCTGAAGGTAGATGTTTCCTGATGCTGAGAAAGTACTCTCATGTGAGGTTTGTTTTTTCTAAAATGTATTTTTGTTCTCCACCTTAACCGACCAGTTTAAAACCACCAATGGAGAACTAGATAAATTTAAATCTCCAGTGTTCTGCGTCTGAGCTCTCCAGCAGGAAGCCTAAAAACCAGGTTCATGCTCATAAACACAAGTTAAATCAGCAGCAGAGATGCTTAGTCTGAGTAAAAACACTGAAGACTGACTTAATGTTTGTTGACATTTGATGAAGAGATTCCATAAAATTATACAGAAACAAGCCTTGCTTCTGTCTTTATAATAAAAAAAAAAACATCTCTTCATCTCTCCACCTTCCATAACACACAGACAACTTCTCTAAATAGAAGGAAATGTTTTGAAGTTGCTTTCTGAAAAAGTGCCTGTGTGCTGCAGTTAAAGCTCAGCGTGATACAACAGTATGTTACTTTTTATGTGGCTTGCAGCTTAATAGGGCTGTTAACTGCTTCATGTGGGGAATTTTCTGTTTTCCTACAATCACTCATTAAATATAGTGGAGTATAAAGAATTTCATTGAACAATGCAGCATCATAACCAGCAAATGCCTTAATTATAAGCTATATGACTACAGTATGCATTTATAAAACAACTCTGATATCTTCTTCTCCACCCTCCATCTCAGGTGCATCATCACCGGCATGGCATCAGGCAGCATCGTCCTCTTCTACAACGACTTCAACAGGTGGCATCATGAGTACCAGACCAGATACTGAGGTTAAATGTGAACTTTTATCAAATGCTCTACTCCGTCTACAGCCTCATGTTCTGAATGTATCTCAATGGAAGGAGAAAAAGAATCTGTAATGTGTGGGTAAAAGCAACAAACTATTTTTAAAAAGGGCATTGCTATATTTTGTAGATTCAATAGATAATTTTTCCTATAAACTTTAAGGCAGGGGAGGGTTCTGTAACTGTTGTGGGTAAAAAAAAAAAAAAAATCTATTTTTAGCTGTAAGAGTCTATTTTCATCTCCTGCAGGAAAGAAATGAGGGACATGTGGGGCGTTAGGCTTAAAAATCCAAATATTTAAGTTTTTTGGGTTGAGTGATTCATGTTGCGTGTGGGGAATAATTTTGGAACTATGCTTTACTCAAATATGCTTTTTCTTATGTTGGAAACAGCAAGGAGATAGGAAATGTTATCAAAAATAAATAAATGTACTTGTTGGAAAGATTTAAGGGAAAGCCCATTTATGTTATCAAAATACAAGCCCTCTTTATTTAAGCTGTCTACTTCCTCTGTAACTCTGTGCTTGCTTTGAGATTATATGACTCATGGTCAACATTTACCAGTTTATTTAATACTTCTGCAATCCTAATCCTCTCTGCATCAGCGATTAAAGAAGTCTTTAGTGTAAACAGATCATTTCTATGACATTTCCTCTTTAAACGACTGAATAAGTACTTAACTAGTTTTCTTCTAATTGAATGCCTCAGCCAGTCTGAAAGTCCAGAGTTAAGTCTCCAAAGCAGCAAAGGTCAGCAAGAGATGTGCAACCTAAGGAAAGACTTTCCATTTTTGCTTCTTTTAAAGAAAAAAAATCTTACTCATTTATTTACAGAATAACCAGTTATGATTTGTTTTCCAGCACCAAATTCTGTTGAGATAAATCTTCTCTTTAACAAGCATCCAACTACAGTATATCTATCTGAATATAAAGGAAACATTCCTTTCTTTAAAGTTTGTGCTTCATTGTTGTTTCACTCTATGATTATATGGGAATGATGGATAACTCATTATTTTTGCAATCATTTGGAGTGTTTTTGTTTGTTGAGTTCTGACAATAAAAATAAGTTTTATTACTTGAAATAACCTGATTGGTTTCTTTATTTCCACTTGGTAGTACTGGAACCACACAGAGCCCTCTTGTGGCCATTGTTTGCTGTTACATACATAACAGAAAACAGTTGGCAAAGCAGGCAGTGATTCAAGTACAAAAACGATATAATTACATTGTGTTTTAGCTTGTTGACTTAAGGCACACATCTTTTTACACACTGCAACACAATCCTGTAAGGTGAGTACAAAAAAAACATTAATATGGCTTAATTTAATGAGGGGCAAATGAGGTAAAGCTGATGATGCATCACTGAAGATGTAAGATAGAAAACATAAGACATGATTTGAGAATCTAAAACTGTCAGTCATGGATATTAATTGACTTGAAAGAGACCAGCAACTAGTTTTACATCACATTGTTGGAGGATAATAATAATAATAATTTTCTTCTCAGCATCAAGTGGAATTGCGGTGCACGTATATTTTTACATGATATTTCATGTTCAGCCGTTATCTACTGGAATGTTAATATGCAAAACCAATAACCAAACCTTCAGTGGTCGATGCTGTACTCAATACAGTATGAGTGCATGAATAAGTCTGTTAACAAGATGATGTCACCGTGGATCGGTACCACATGCTGAGGTGTCAGACCGCGGCAGGCTGCATGTAGTAAAAAACTCCATACAAGTACAAACCATTTACCTGGTCCCCCTTATGTAGCCTTAATGGATGCTTTTATCCACTGGTGAGTACATTTTTGATATTCCTAAGTAAAATTGGAGCACAGAGCTTTGAGTCGAGAAAGTATATGGTGATTTTTATGGTTTTATAAGTATAATCATGTAATAAATTGATGACTGTAAAATACTTATCTTCCCTCCATCAGATAGGTGGAAGAAAACCGGTTCCTAAACAAGTCATGAAGTTTATACTAAAACAAGGATCATCCTCTTACATCTTTTATTCCCTGCAAGATTTAAAATGAACTCATCACATATTCACATATAGTGGCTGTTTCCGATCATCTGCCCTAATCGGCCAATCACTGTATAGAGCAGGGATTATATAGTGAACTCAGTTAGGGGGTAGGTTTTGGAAAGACGATTGCTAATTTTTGCCACTGTTGGTCATGTGACTCTGGCTCCCCCCCATGATGCCTGCGCCATCAATGTTCTCTCTTCCCCAAAACAAATCCTATGATGCTTTGTGATGAGAGCTTGTGCAAAGCATTCTGGGATATGGTATATGTTTGTCTGGTGACCATTGGATAACACTGCTTTTCAAGGTGCACTGTGGAAAATTTTCAGTTTGCTTCTTTTTCATCCATATACCTATATCTACAGTATAGTGCTCTGTATAGGGGTTAGGGTGGATGTTCAGACACAGCCTTTGTTTGTAAAATGATGGTGTCTTTACAATGAAAACCAAAACACATCTAAACTGGAAACAGCATTTCAGATAACAAAATAAACCAAATATTAAAAGCAAATAAAACCCAGAGGGAGCTGATTAAACCATAGTTTTCTTTATTAACTGACAACTTGGTATAACCATTGAAACTCAGTTACTTTTTATGAATAATTAAAATTATAGAACTGTAATCTTTATTAAGCAGGAAGGCTGATCCATTGACAACGAGAATAGCAGGTTTGAGGTGGAGTTATATGCCAGAACATCTCTATAAACAAAAAAATGTTCTTCTCCTAAAGGAACAATAGGTGATAACTTTAGTTTTTCCTAACAGATAACCGGGATATTCTATAACAAAATCAGTGCATCAATAAACAGTAATATATCACTTCAACAGGCAAACACACACACAGGACAGTCTATATTAATAAATAAACCTTGTGTACATTCAGACTCCTCAGTCTTACATGAAGGATCTGGATGAGTCGGAGCAGTCATCCTGCAGCCACCTCAGTCTCTGGCTCAGTTCACAGCTGCTAAGAAATGCATAATGTGATGGTTTATCCTCTTCATCCTCCAAAATGCTGTGAAGGCCTTTCTAGACACGAATGCATCAGGATTTTAGATTTACTTCAGAAGTTCTTCAGCCAGTAGAGGGTGGGAGGATGTAGAGACAGCAGGAGGTGTGGAAGGAGGAGAAGGGAACAGAGCTGTATGGACAGAGGAAGGCGAGGTGGGCTCTGGTTTTGATGGAGAAGAGAGTGGGAAGAAAAAAGGTTGGATGGGGGAAACGGGGCATGGTGACAGTTTGGTGGGAGAGGTTGGATCTGGGGCAGGGTTCATGACAGATGACAGCGAGGGACATGAAACGGTTGATGAGGGAGTTGTGGAAGCAAAAAGATGTAGAGCAGAAGGAGAGAAATGATCTAAAGATATACAAGGAGTCAGGAAGAGGGATGAAGGAGGTGTCTCTTTTTCTGGTGGAGAGGAAATAAAAACTCCAGCAGAAGGGGAGGGAGAACGTGCAGGAATAGAAAGAGGCAGACCAAAGCCAGCAGAGTCTGCTCTTTCAAATTCCTCAGGAGGAACAGACCTGGTTGGAAAAACTGCCTCGACAGAGTTTGGATCTTTGTCACATGCCACTTGTTCAACAGGAGTCGGATTGTTCGAGAGAGAAGATGAGATGTGTTCTGAGTTCTGCTCCACTTGTGTTCCCAAACTGCTACGAGCACCGAGCTGAATGGTCTCTTTATCAAGAGCTGTGTTCTGCAAAAAGATATGGAAATACTATAAGCTTATCAAAAAAACTGATCCCAATTTGGTTGTTTTGTTTATACAGAGACCAGGAAACAAACTTCTATCGTTTATAATTCATTTAATGGATTTTTAACCCGCAAACATATAATTTAGTTCCTTTATGAGCATTTAATTTCTGATCTTTATGGAGTGAATAAAAATTCTCATAATTCACCGTAAGACGGTATAAAAGCAACAAATGCAACACGTAGGTATGATTTAAAATTTTCAACACACTCTGAACTATTTCACATCTTGTCAAATTACAGCCATAACCTCTCTCTCTCGAGACTGACTCAATGAAGTGCATCGTTAAGAAATGGAGGAAAATGATGCATCCTTTTCAATTATTTTTCTTCTGTTGTTTTTTGTTGCTCAGCATACCTATGTGCTGAGCCCCATTTATTATGATATCCTAAAATGAAACACAGTCCAGACAAACGGTATCATCAAGTCTGGCTGACATACAGAAGCAGACGGGTCAGGTAGAATGTTATTCAGGAGTTTAATGCGGAGTTAAAGCATCCCACAGAGCTTTGTGTAATCTATCTCTAAACCGGAGTAAAAAACAACTAAAACACATGGCCATCTACTGAAACTACAAGCCAGCAGGAACTGCACTGATCACAGTGGAAAACAAAAGGCCATTGCTAATATTGAATCGGCAGCTCAGGTGGAAGAATCTGAACTGAAAGATGTGCCTTAAACAAAGTTAGACCTTATGCTAGAACAACCAAGAAAAGAATACCGCATGAAAGCATTAAGTTATGGGGACATCACATTTAAATTCTTTTGTCTGATAAACTATTAAGCTGGTGAGATACATTTAATAAGCAGTGTTGGAAAAAATGGTCAGAATTGTGATGCAGATTATGCTAATGGAGCTAAATGCAGAAAAGAAGTTGACAGTTAAACTGAACACTGAATTGTTTAAATCAAATAATATTAATGCATTAGTGTCAAAAATCTGACCTAAAATGAGGCATGATTTCATGGTCTGAACTGTTTTGCAAAGAAGAATAGAAAAAGATACTTGCAGCTATAATTAGAAGAAAACATTTCTACAAAGAATGGACTCTGAGGGGTTAAATGAAAAGCACAGCGTACTTAGCAAAAATATTTATTTGTGGAAAAGAAATTCGAAAAATATGCATCATTCTCCTTCTGCATACCAATTACCCATTTCTGCATTGGTCGTCACTTAAAATTCCCAAATATTCATAGAAATTTGAGGTTGCACTAAATTCTCCTGCAAAGCACAGATTTACAATTTGTAGTTTGGTTGTTTGATTACATGGATTTTAATAGGCAATTACAGATAAAAAAAAAAATGTATTACGTATGTAAGAAGGGTATCCAAACCACCATGGCTCCAATTTATTATTTTTATTATTTTTTAATAAAATTGATACCATTTAAAAGCTGCTTTTTATTTAACTATATTTACTGATATCATTGAAAAAGCCGTATGTAAAAAAAAAAAAAAAACACATTTCCACAGCACTATATAAGCACACAGAAAAGGCAAAATAAGTTTTTTAATTAGTTGCTGTATGTTTTTTTATTATGGCATAAAAATTAGCAAAAGATACGTTTACTGAGCTTGAAACAACACAAGTAATTTTTTTATCTTTGCTGAATCGCAGGAGCAGAGGAGAAGAGGTTCACAGTCAGGGTGTTAGTACATACCATTGCCTTGGGATTAATTCAGAGGGACGAAACGCAGGGAGGTAGAAAAAAGCAAAAAGGGACAGAAACTAGTCTTACTGTCAGCATAATGAAAACAAAACCAACAAAACAAGCGATGGAGGGGTGTGTTCGTTCCTACTTAGAGCTGCTTTAAAATTATTTTTTTTAAACCCAAGAAATGGCACTCAATAACACCAAAAAAATGAAAGTGGGCGGCTTAATAGAACTGGTTTTTATTCTAAACTGGTCCTTAAATTAATTTTAACATTGTTAGTAAAGGTCAGTCGCATTAAATGAATGGTTGCCATTGCTTAACGTCTAGATTATTTAACAGGGAATCAACAAAATCTTTCTATAAAACGGGCAAGAAGCTAAATTTAATTTAAATAGTCCGGTTCCATCTGTGCTCATTTTTACACCACTTTAATGCAGTTCTCCTCTTTCTCCTCAAGGTGGCGACACTATGCCAACGATTTAAAACAGCAGCACAATGTAAACCTGCTAAGACCACAGAGCAAGGGAAGCATATCACACCTTTTAATTAAGCCCAGCTTTTGGTTGTGTTCAATATGGAGTAAATGGTGATTAAAGGAGCAAAGAGACAAACAGGAAGCTGACTACATTAGTTGGATAGAGGGAGAGGTTACACAACCTGCCAAAGATGAGGACCAGAGGGCCAAAGAATGTCACAGGAAGGAAAGGGGAGGGAGGGTGAGACGTGGGCGACTCCTAAAAAGAGGATGACTGTGGAGGAAGGCGGGTGTTAGGATGAGGGAGGTGAAAGGGTTGGAAGTGCAGGAAGAGGTGAAAAGTGTACCAGGCTTTGAGTTCCAGACGCCTCCTGTAGTCCTGAATCAGGTGTGAGGGAGGAGTAGGATGTGGAAGGAAGAGGAGGAGGATGGAGAGGAGGAGCCATAGTTTCAGCTTCAATCTATAACTCAAACTGTCAAATGAGATTCACAACAAAATGAAGGTAGTAATGTGAAGTTCTCAGCCTGCATGAGTCTGATAGAATGATCTGAGAGAAAAGGCGACATGGAGGAGGAACGATGATGAGTTGTGAGCTGCTCGGTCTGCAAGTTATTCCTTCCTTTCATCCCTAAAATCCTGTCAGACTTGTTCACAGCAGCTGAACTTGTTTACTATGCAGCATTAAAGCTATTTGGATGAAGAGGGCACAAAAAATTGCTGTCCAAGTAAATCTTCGGGTTTCGGGTCAAACATCTCATCCACTGCATGTCAGCTCTGATAAAACCCATCTTAAAGCTTAAGCAGGGTTAAGAGATTTAACTTTTTTTTGTATATCTGGAATCAACATCTCAAATATTGTCCAAATGTTTGGCATGAGGATGACGATGAGCTTACCATGATGATGGACACTCCAGCTGTAGTGCTGTTTTGCTTCGGTGCAGTATTGAAGTGCGTCTTCAGTTTACCTGAAACCTCCGTCTTCATGTTGTTCCCCATCACTGCATCATCCTGCCAGAGACTCCTGTTAGTAACAGAGAATCCTCTCTATTTCAGGCTGTGGGTATGTGAGCTTGCATGCAGAAAGATACCGTGACCCAGGGGTGTGAGAGGACATCCTTTGCTGTGTATCGGGCCTCTGCGTTGACCTGCAGCATCTTTCTGATCAGATCCTGGAAGGAAACCATAGCTTAGTTAAGATCTAACCCTAAAAGTTTTTCTCACTGGATGTCTGTGAACACATGCTGATGAAAGTAGGAAATATTCACCTCAGGGCCCTTTTTTTTAAAAACTGCATTTAACAAAATACCTGTGGTCTGTGAATGCAAATTGTGCAAACTTAAGTTTGACTCCTGCTTGTTTTAAAGTGGTACAAACATAAAGCTGGCACTGACTTAAGAAATAAGGGATGCAAGGAATATTAGCAAAAAAGAAATCCCTAAACCTCTACAGTTTGAGCTTATTAGCTGTACTTAGCTTTAGTCTTTTCTGCAAAGGATCAGGGATTTTTTGTCAAGGTTAATCGCAATTTACCCCAAAATATCAAACCGATTTGAAAGAAAGGACTTTACTCCTGTTTAAAAGAGAACAATATGTTACACCAGTCAGACTCTGGGTTGCATTACTCTATTAAGTCTGGATATGATTTCTAGCAGCAAGCTGTAGCCTCCGATTCTTAATGTGTGCATATGAAGGCAGTCGTTTACAATAGGCAACCCCATGATAATAGGGAATCACATCAAGAATCTTCTTTGTCTCTATATCACAGTTATATTTCACTAAGACACTGTTTTATAATGCCCATATAGTGCAAAGACATAAATTAATAAAAAAGTATATACGACTTCAAAATTATAGAAACAAACAAAAAAATATTTCTAATGGAAAGTGGCATGTAGTAACGGACCACTGCTGCAAGACAAAAGTTCTGGTGGGGTAGATGGATGGGACCAGAGGTCATCAGAGCCTACATTAATGTGCAAATGCTTCAATGGAATACAATACTTTTGTATAAATAGGGTATGTCTAAACATGTTAAGTTATTTAGACATGTAAAAAAAAAAAGGAGTTGGACATCAGTGTGACACACAGCACAATATGCTTTCAGCTCTAAAGGAAAGCTCTATTCAGAACAAAAAAAAAACCAAAACACCAAACCGTCGGGGTCTTTTAAACTCATGCAAAATGCTGAATTTGCCAACCTTGGCTGAAATGGTGACGATGTCCCAGTAAGGAGAAGGGAAGTCCAGCTGGCCACGAAGAATCTGATCAAACAAGTCCTCTTGCTGATTATTCTCACTTTATTAAAAGACATAAATATGATTATGTTTACAGCAGCAATGACAAGTGGAGCCAGAATCAAAATATGTAAGCGTTATTGGTAATGAACTTATCAAAAGACATTTTAAAACATTTAAATATTTATTTATTCATTCAAATATTGAATCATCTTTATTTTAGTTTTTATATTTATATTAAAGTTCTCTTTATTTTTTTGTATTTACAATTTAATTACCTTACAAAATATATTTTCTGAAATACTTATTTTAGCTTCAATCTAAAGGAATAAATTATCCTTCAATAATCATCATTACTTAACTTGAGAACTTGTTGCCAGATTTTTGGTCAATTATTGGTAAATAGTTGGCACAACTCGATTTCAAAGGAAGGACTAACGGGGTAAGCCTCATCACCCTAGACTGTACACAATATATTTTACATTGAAGTAAATTCAATTTTTTCAATTTGAAATAAAGTTTGAAGACTTACGAAGAACCTTTTGGGCAATAAAAAATGTTAGATAACAAAATTTCAAAACTTCCCAAAACAGTAAGTAAAATCAATCTAATGTTAAACAAATTCAAAATCGACACGCTCTCTTAGAAAATTAAAGAAAAGAACATTTCCAGCTTGATCTGAGCAAATACCCTTGATAGAAAGCCAGAAAGCCTTTCCTTCCTAAGCCACTTAGTTCTGCAGCTCCATGTTATCATGAGACTACGCAGATAACACAAATCAACATAGTACGACTGGAACTGACCTTCTAAATGGGGGAAAGCCACAAAGTAAGATGTAGGTGATCACACCTGCAGCCCAAATATCCACTTTCAGACCATAACTGGAAGAAAAGATAACATGCAGCCAACAAAGGTTATAGTAACATGTAGGGCAAAATGCTTTTGCCAAAAATCATAATCGATGTTTTCCAACAGATATTCAGATAAACTTTATATTTTTATATTTAAATAATTTTCAAATGTGTTTACTTCTACTTGCATGCATAGATCTGCGTGCTAGCTGCATTTCTCTCCACTTTTCTGTGTGATGAAAAAAACCCAATTTAAGCACTCTACGGCCAAGTAACGTGCTGGAGTAGGAAAGGTTGTTTCTTACTCTTATTAATACATTAGGAACAAAATTGAGAGCCTCTGCATTGTACTTTCTGTTAAATTGTAATAATACTAAAAGTGCAATCAATTGCCCAGGCCAAGTAACATATAGAAAACAACACTATTGATTATATTTTAAACATTCAAGTATACCAAAGTAAAGCAAAAGGGGTAAACTCCTCTGAAAACACCAAAATATTCAACCCATTTAATGGAGACAAAGATCCTTTCTACTTTCATGCTTGTTATGACATCATGCAACAACATGTGACCTAACATCCATCTTACCCTGACTCAGCAATGATCTCTGGGGCCACATATGTTGGTGTTCCACACACAGTGTACAGTGGTCCCTCCACTACTGTGGCCAAACCAAAGTCTCCAAGTTTCAGGGACTTTGAGCCATCCTGATGCTCAAACACCTAAAAGGAAACAGGCAGTTTGAACCCCGCCCCAAAAAGTGAAAAATACTTTTTATTTTTTAGATGATTATGTCAATCTAAGTACCAGCAGGTTCTCAGGTTTGATGTCTCTGTGGACGATGCTCATGCTGTGGAGGTACACCAGAGCTGCAGCCAGGTTGGAGACCATGGTGCCGGCATCTTTCTCTGTGTACTTGGCTGAGGATGTAATGGCATCAAAGAGATCCCCTCCCTGTGGGAAAATTTAGGACAGATGTTAGCGATCCAAATGCATAGGAACCAGATGTTGACACAAATATTTGATGGACCTTTACAAGCTCCATGACGAGACACAGCTCAGAGGGCGTGTCCACCTCCTCGATCAGCATGATGATGTTTGGGTGTTTCACCCTACGCAACACAGCAACTTCATTCTCTATGAGGTGTTCCTGGAACACACATCATCCATGTTAATGAGTGCAGAGATATGCTGGTGATGATTCTCAGTCATCCAGGAATGGAAGTACAGAGATCTGAAAGGCATTTGTTATTTTGTTATCGATTGTGAAATTGTACAAACAGTTCGAAATGTACATCAACCTCTTTTTGCCTGGACTTTGACTATGCAACTGTCTTACTGTAAAGCCCAAATTCTCTTGAGCTTAATTTCACAAATGAAATAGTGAAATACAACGTTAGTATCTTTGCTGATTAAAAAGACATATCTGTACAAAAAGTAACACATTCTTCTAATAAATCCGGTGAATATTTCGCCAAAGGTCTCTTAGGGTTTTTTATGCAAATATCATTCATGTGTCTTTAACGGCCACTATTGGTTTGGTTGTTGAAACTCTGACAGTGACCAGGGTAGGGAGTGGGTAATTGACATCATCTTTTTTTTAAGCCTTCCTCTGTCAACTCTACGCATATATATGGTGAAATAGTTCCTTTATTAGGAAACTGTAGTTGTTTTATTGTACTATTTTTTCAATTAAGAAAAAAAGATAATTTTATTCACTGCGACCTCTCCCTATATAATTCAGATGTTACTATCGTGACTTCTGATGACCAGGCTCCTCTTCAGGGCTGAATTAGGGTTGAGACAAATGACTAATTTTCAACAATTAGATATTAGCTAACAATTGAGCAGTTAGAAATGATCACAGTAACGCCATTCCTCACTGACTGGAAAAAATGAACTTGTTGTTTACTGGGCAGGGGTGCAGCAGTCAACGTACATGCTTCCCGGAGAAGGGAAGGTAGAAAAGGTAATGTCACTACTTTTCCAGCACAGGGAGAGGCTTCTTTAAGTGTCCCATATTATGCAAATGCAAATTATAACCATATCAGATGTATGTAATGAAAAAACCCTTTCCCCTCTCTCACTGCCTTTCTCCACCTCTTAGCTAATAAGTGCTCAAATCGCTCTGTTTGAAAAGCCTTCCCCTTATGACATCATAAGGGGAAATTGGGTGCCCAGAGCGGCCTGTAGCAACCCATCAGTCAAGCTCAGGCCTTCATCTAATGTATTACTCCATGCTGCTACGCTATCTTTACAAACTCTGACTGGTTGCCATGGTTGCAGGTTGTGGGGCCGCAGCCTTAGGAGGAGGGGGGCGTGGACAGGCAAAAAGCTTGTCAAGAGGAGGGCTGCATAAGGAGATTTTTGGTAAGGGCTGTCTGCGTAATCTGAGAGGAATTTTACAGCACAAAAGACAAAAACATGGTCTGAGGGGTCATTATTAAAATTTTTAATTTAAATTTAAAATCTAGCCTAATATTGGACCTTTAAGGATTAGGATATACATAAATCAAGTTCAATGCCATTTATGGATGGCTTGGACGAAGGAATAGTGTTATGGAATAGATAAAAACATTGCATGATATAGACATTTTGCAACATTAATGTCTCTTATTACACGTCTGTCAGGATATTAACAAAAGATGCAGTAATATTTTTCTTACAGGTCTGGTTGGTTAGTGTTTTTTGCTTTAAAAAGATCCTTTGAAGCCTGTTTTTTTATATTTATTCATGTATTTGATTAAATGGTTTGAAATATAAAATATTCATAAAGAAAAAATAACAAAAAACAAAACATATTAGGACGGTATACTCTTTCTAAGCACACTTCAACAATAGATCAAATTTTCCATTATTATACTAAACAAACTAAATAACTTAATGGATTTAATATCATGTGAAGATTGTGTGATTAAGTGTGTTAATGCCAAACAGTAAAACACATAACTGTATTGTGAGCCTGGGGATGATTAATAGAAAATGAGCCTAAAATGTTCAAACTGTTTGGATCAAATACCCTCTTACTGTTCTGTGTCTGGGTTACTAGTCCAGCGTAAAACTCAAATCATATTTCCATTCTTCTACATGTGTCTATTATTCTGAGATGTCAAAGGTAAATGAAATGAAGATTAGAGGAAAGATAAGTTGAAAGTGAAACCTTTCCACTGCATTTGGCTTTGTCAATGATTTTGAGAGCAAACTCCTTCCCCGTAGACCTGCACAGTAACAGAGCAATTAGTGGGGACAATAAGAATGGCAATAAAGCAGCTATAAAACATATAAATGAAAAGAATGCATCATTACAGTCTGCAGTGCAAATACAGACTCTGCATAGATCAGATACGTAAGTAATGACAGAATACAGGCTCAAGACCCAACCCAACATGAAAAAAAAACAAACATTAAAATTACTGCTACTCTTTTGGTTCTTCTCCCTCATGTTCTGGGTGTAATGCAAGTGTTAATTTACACTGATAATTTTGCATTACACAATTCCAGAGCTAATGTCTTACCTCTCCACACACTCTTTAACCACAGCAAAGTTACCATCTCCGATCACTTTGCCAACACTGTATTTTTCCAAGATGCCAGAGGCTGCTGGGTACTGCTTTCCATTAACTACAGAATGGAGGCAAATATTACAGCTGAGCTTTAATACACATCTAGGTCTGCCAAAAAAAAACAAAAACAACAACAGCAGTATTCCAAATAACTTCTTAAGGTGAAGAAATAAAAGTTACCTTTTGGACTCTGATGGACTGTTTGCTCCTGATGATTAAGTGAATCATTCCCATTCACATTAGGTGAGGAGGGCTGAGGTGAGGGAGGGATCTGTAGGATTCACCAGACAAAAAGACTAGGTCTCAGGCTAAGCAGTATTTGAAATAATAGCTACATTTAAGTATAACTACTTTAGTGGCTGCATGTTGAGTTCTACAACTTGTTGCCTTTGTCACAGTCTTGGTTCTGTTATGTTTTCTTTTGAGTATTCAGTTTAACTTTGCCTCATGTTTTCTAGTTTTATTGGTTTAATTCTTATTTTGTTGTGTTTTCTGGTTATATTTCAGTTCTCAGGTTTTTATTTGTAGCTCTCTGTTGCCCTCTTGTGTTGGTCTCCTTTTTCCTTAGCTCCTTAGACTGCTCTCTTCACACCTGCTCCCAATCTGCTCGTTAGTCCTCTCTTTGTTCAGTTAGCCATAAATGCTCTCCTTGTGCAGTTCCTCAGTGCTGGTTCCTCGTCTAACTTCCTCCAACTTCCTTCCTACTGTGTCTTCCTCATTGTGATGGTTTTCCCCTGAAGTCTCCATGGTTTCTGATTGGTTTTACTTTTTTCATGATTGATTTTTGGATTCCTGCCTCAGTTGTCTGTTAACCTTTCAATAAATCTACAAGAAACTCACCTCTGCATCCGGGTCCTCAAACCACAACCAAATCCTGACAACCTTAACTTCAGGAGATGCTAGACATCCTTCTGTCATGTAGCCAACAAATAAAAATGAAAGGAACTTGATTTTGATTCTTTCCCAAATTGGGAACATTTCCTTAAAATAAATATAAATCTTCCCTGCTATAAAATAGGTTGATGATCCAGGGTGCAACCACCTCTCATCCATAGGGCACCAGCACTCTATCCCCCTGACGGATGGCTGGGTGTAAAAGCTAGTCCCATTATTAATGTAAGGTATGCCTATTTAAAATATCTGAGGTATCTGAACTGCTGGATAGGATTCTCTCCAAATCCATTTATAACTTCCATAAAAGCATTACAGCTACTGATCAATAATAAATAGGTGAAGTGCAATTTCCTGCAATGCACAACTGTTTTAGGGTACAAACAGTACAATTTCTAGATCTAGGCAACTATGTTTAAACTATACAGAACCTAAATCTAAATAACAATGTAATACATGTTTCCCTAATAAATTAATTAGATTTTTTGTGTTAAAGGGAAAGTCTTTATATAGTATAGAAGAGAGAGGTGCCTTGATTGCTCTTTTATGATGAAGTACATGAAAAAGCTTTTTCCTCCTGTCCACCAGAAGTTCAAACAGTGAAAGCATGGGCACTGCGGTGTTTTTGATAATACTCTAACGCTTCCTCATTCATTTTCTTTCCTTATCAGCAATTTTCAAAGTCATCAGTACATCATAAAACCTCATTAGCCAACACATTTGCTTGGAATGAAACATGTTTGTCTTTGACATAGGAATGGAAGAACTGAGCAGGCTCTATTGTGCCAACAGAGTAGGTTTTCCAGCTGGTTATATAACCCTGAGAATGCTGTTGGCAGCAATATGCAAATTCAAAAATGGATATGTTAAAAATTTTATTAATATATCAAACTCTACTAAACAATATGACGGAGCAGCAACACACCCTGTTCCAACTGGTTTTGCATATTTGAGATAGGCCTAGGCTGCAAAACACCAGATAAAAAGCAACCAATTTGGCAAGTTTGACTCTATTTGCAATTTTTTTTTTTTTTAAGTGAAAAAACTTCTAAAACATCTTCAGAGGGTGCTAAAGAAAACAACTAATGAGCTACCATGTGTGTGAGACTGATACCTTTAAACAGGGAATGGTTCGTGGGGATGGGCTGGTGGGAGACGGGCTAGAGGACTTAGTGGACCTGTGACCTGAGACACCATTTACTGTAGAAAGGACAGATGCAAAAACAAAACACAAAATGTTAATGGATGAATTTTTATTTCAAAGGCTCTACCATATGATATATACAATTAAATAATTTGCTTTTTAAAATTCAAATACTGAGACCTTCAAGGATCAAACAACAATAGGAAAAAATTTAATCAACATTTAGAAAAAAAAAAATAGAAAAAGCATGTTTGAAGTTTTACCTGAGGATTTGATTGAAGACAGACTGGAGTAATGAACGGGTCGCCTTGCTACAGTCACAAGAGAAAAAAACACATAGGAATATGTTTACCTATTCGGGTATTTCTTTTTAAATAGACAATGAAACAGCAGTTATACAGCCGGTCATTACCATTTCTCAATAAAATAACCATTGTTGAGTCAAAACAGGCATTTTTTTCACATCAAGAATTTCTGACTTTGCTGTTCAAATATGAGGTGATGACTCTCGAAGGTAGTATGCAAGACAAGAGGCATGGTTTTTATTTATTGTTTTTTCCTAACCAACATCAGCAGCTCTAGTTGGACGTGCGAAAACAGTCTTTCTCACCAGGACCTGGGGATTTACTGCGCCTCGAGAGACTTGGGCTCTTAGCGGTCCGATTGGGAGTAGCAGAGCGTCTGTAGGATGATTTTAGGACTTCGCATTCTAGGGAAAGAGAAGCTATAATTTAGATATACAATATGGCATTTTGCAAAAAGCTGGAGAGCTTTTTTTATTTTTTGATTGTTCTGAATCAGTTGAATTCTGGCTGTAGCACGAAAATACAATAGAAGCAACTTTCTCAGTCATTGGTGAACATTGTTTAGTCCAGAAAAGTGAAATAGGCCAAGAGTTAAAGGTATAGTGCAGGATGTTCTTTTACCAGATGGATCATCAAAATAAGTGGTCCTCCTAATTGTCAATCATTCTGGTAATATGTTTGAATAAGGCCGTCATATGTGTTCGTTTCCATTTTCACTCAACAGTAGTGAGTGTGACTTAGTGGAAAAATTCTAAGTCTTCTTTCGGAAAGTAAGCTTGTGTGAGCGATGCAAACAGCAACTTTTAAACAAAGCTTGCACGAGGAGAAATGGGCTTGTGCACGCTCTCACACGTTTTTTAATATGCATTCCCTCCCAGGAGCGGGTACAGGGTTGTGCATGAGCATTTTTTTATTTATTTTTTTAAGTAGACTTTCGTGAAAATCCTCCACTATACCTTTACAGCTTATTGAAAATCAGTTTTAATTTCTAGATCCATCACAGCTTAGCTTTAGATGAGCAATGATACAGAATAACACATCATTAGATATTAAATAATCCTCAAAGTTTTTGTGATGCAAACTTCCTCACTTTTCTACTACATTTCAAACCTAAAAAATATAAAAACATATTCCGAGATGAGATACAATAGTTATGAATTAGATCAAACAGAGAATCTACAAAGCTCCATTCTTGATTATTTTTATTTATAATAAAATTTTCCTACACACAAGGCTAATATTTTTACATAGTATTTATACCATCTCTTACCGTAATTATGTTGATGACATACTACTTTACATTTCAAGAACATAACATAACCAGGGTCCCTTACATGTACTGTGCAATTGTGTCAGTAATATCATGTGTGTCATAACATCTATATTTCATTTAGTACAGTACTGTACATTTAAATATATGTTCCATTTGACTATATATTTTCTGGGTCTGCAACAAATATTTGTTGGGTCTCTATTTATTGCATATATGAAAACATACAGTAATATCTTCAATATAAAAGTTAATTACATGAATATGATATCATCATTCTATGATTATATAGTTCATTTAAACCACAATTAATTAATTAATTGTAATTAACTCATTAATTTTATGAGCATGTAAATAAACAAAACACTTTTTACACACATTAATGTTTTTAGTAATAGAGTTGAATCAGTTTTTAAAGATAACATTTTCTTTAGGTCGTTCTGGAAGCACTCTTCAAAGACCCAAATACCTTAAGTCGAACACAGGATTGTAAGTGGGGCAAAAGTTGCAAAGTTTTGGAGTTTTCTCGGTTACACATTGAAATATGCCTCAGACTGTTAGCTAACCTGACCAAATAATATTATTAGACAGGATGTCACTGCTTCAGACAGCAGCTATAATTAAATTCCTTTTCCTTCCTCTGTGCTAGTTTCATCTTGGCTAAAGGGTTGATCTGCTGTATAAACAGGTCATATCCTGCCTGTGTTCTCAGAGACTCTCAGTGAAGTTTCTACACACTGATGTTAAACACATAGGTACTACATACAGTACTTACAGTACATGCAACTGAAAACAGGAATACAGGGAATAAAGTTGCACATTTAAAAGCTTAAAAAGGAACACCTTACTTGGATATAACCTAACGGAATATCTTCAGAACAGCTCCAAATGACACAAAACTCATATGAGTGAGTAGAACATGATGTAATAACGTAAAATCAAGGGGCCAATGTAAAAAAAAAAAAAAAAACGGTGTTCCCCTTTAACCAATAATTTTATCTCCTCAGCTAATGGCAAAAACCTTTAAAATAAACAAATCTTTTATTACAGGAACATATTTTCCCAATAGGATATTCACTGAATTCCACGTAAATTAGATCTCTTTGGTTTATTTTTTTATTTTTCTTAGCTCAACTGTTTCAAACTACCTTTCAATTCTTGGATGAACCACTAATTAGCCAATCCTGTTTAGATTAAATACACCAAGATATTTTCACCTGCTGAAAATTATTTGGAAGCATAAATGTTCTCCCTTGTTCAAAACCTAATTCACACTGAAAAAACTGATGCACTTAAAAAAGCCCATTATTACACAAAGTGCATGCTACCCTAAGGAAAAGACAGCTTCAAGTACTCACAAGTACAGGGATTGGATTAAGCTAATGCTAACACAAACACACATGCACAGACAAACATATATGTTTAGTTCGGCCTACCAGTTATTAAGGCTGTGGAAGCCTTACCACTATGATCCAACACAAAGTCGTCCTGCGCATAGCGGTACTTCTCTGGACCGCACGCTATGAAAACATCGTCCTCCCCAAAGAAGTCTTGCAGGCAGGTAATCTGGTGGGAGGAATGTGAAGATAAATGTAATTAATTAATGGGAAACAAGCAGTGGGGAATATATACATTTATATTTCATTTGTTAATATAGAATAATTTGAATACATCTGGCGTTTCAATTTCTTTGGCTTGGAACAAACAACCCAAGGAAAGGCTTTGTAGAAAGTGTCAACTATGGTTTATTAATCAAAAATAATATCTTACTTTTAGATTTACCTGTATGAATCTCCAGAAACAGTCCAATATCTCTTTAAAATGTATTAAAGGTGTTTAAGAGAACAGGTGTGAGTTAAAGTCTGAGCTGCAAAGTAATTTACCTGATTTTTTCTTCTCACTGTTTTAAACTGTGATCCTCATTTTCTCTGTTGCTCCAAACTGTTTTTATGCTTTCAACTAACAATTAAACTACGTTCAGTCCCGCATGTAGGTGGACAAATAGGAAGACTAAACAGCAGATCCTTTCATAATCCCTCTCTTCACCTTGCATTTGTGCTGCCACATACTGACAGGCTTATCTAATGTGTGTGAACATATCTGTGGGCAGATGGATTCTTAAAGGGGGACTGGGGTCTGAAATGGTGGAGGAGGGGAATGTAGCTTTGATTGTCCAGCGGTACTAGAACATGAACTGGTAGTTGACGAAAGCTAAATGGTGGAAAAGCACAGAGAGCCAGAATGAATTCTCCTTGTTTCAACAGAGTGGGCAAAGCGTTGAGCCTCTTTATTTAGCAACAAATACAAAGCCACATTCAAAGCAGTTGAGAGCTATCTGTGCAGCCAATGTCTGCAATTAGCTGCAGCGGTCCGCTTGCTTCCACATAGCCTAAATGAATCACATTCTTTCAATGTGTGCTTATGCTGGAACTTGGCAGCTGATCTCTGTACTGCTTTGTCTGCCAGGTGTTTGAAACACCACACCAACAGACCACAGGGTGAGTCAAACACATGTCAATAACAAACTCATCAATTTAAATTCCTTTGACAACATGGTTAGATTACTATTAAGTGTTAAAACAGAGGGAAAATTAGGTTTTTCTTAAAGCTTTTCATCATCTCAGTTAAATCTGACATATATATATATATATATATATATATATATATATATATATATATATATATATATATATATATATATATATATATATATAAATCAAGAGATCAAGAGGAATCCAAGCAAATGCATATGGTGCATTGCCTGTTTCTCTTGTTAACAGATCCACAAAAACAGCCAACAGAACCCTGCCCTCCCCCCTGCAGATGCTGTCTCAACCAATCAGTTGAGAGCAAACTGTTTTGCAGGGGGCTGTGTTGGCTGGGTGACATTTCTTCGGGGTAAACTGAAGTTTGTCCTCCATCATGCAGCACTCCCTTTCCTCTCAGATGCCTGACCTTATTTTGCTCTCGCCGTTCATCTCTGTCCTCCAGTCACCCTATTCTGTTTTTTGCCCTGGAAAGCTTAGCAACAGAATAAAATGCATGTAAAGGCTGTAGAAATACAAATGACAATAATTAGCATCTTGTTTTTTTATGGGGAAAATGTAGTTTTAATTCTTAAACAACGATACGGTACTAACAAAATCAAAGCATTTAAGTATGTTATCCAGGGTTTGTCTCCTCTTTTATAAATAAACAATTAAACAATTGGTGATTAAATTTAAAATGTTTAGAGTAATAACTGAGCACATAGTGTGTTATTTCTGTTATAAAGCTAATCACCCTTCAAAGAAACCTAGATATTCTTTCCCTCAATGGGATTACCATTTGCATGTTCTTACTTATGAACATGCAAAAAGTGAGATGCTTGTTAAATTTGTCACATTGGAGAAATTGACCTCTGTATTTAACACATCCCCTTGGGGAGCAGTGGGCTGCCTTAGTACAGCACCCGGGAAGCAGTGTGGGGTTAAGGGTTTTGTTCAGGAATCCAGAGTGCAGGCTTTGGGATTCCAACCGGGTACTTGCAACCTTCTTAGAGCAGGATGTCTAGGTCAGTGTTTGCATTAAGCCAAAAAAGAAACAAACAACAGAAATAATATCATAATAGCACTAGTGTTGCACCGATACTGATACCAGTATTGGACAGGGCCCAGATATTGCCCTAAAATGGTGGTATCGGTATTGGAGAGTACAAACAAATAGGGCACCGATACCATTTTGAGAGCCATAAGTTTATTCAACTATTGTCACCCATCCTGGTAGGCAATAAAAAGTTCTACTGGATTCACTTTGTATTAGATTTTTTCCTGCTTCACAAAGGTAGGCAGCAGCTTGATAAAGCCATGATGGCAATTATTTTACATTATTATGGTATCGGTATCGGCCGATACTGCACAGCCAGGTATCAGGGCCAAAAAATGGCATCGGCGCAACACTAAATAGCACACTGAGTTTCAGTCTAGACACTGAACATAAAAGATTAAAACGTACATATTCATGACCCGTTTACACTTGTGACCCCCAGATCAAAGATCAAATATTCTAAATACAGTAATGGTAATTTAGCACTACACGTATACAAATAAAGCCTAAATAAAAAGAAGCAAAAGTAAAACAGAACAATTTTTTTATATCTTTCAATGTCAATTTGAAGCCATTCTATGGGACTGATAACCTCTAAAAATGAGAATACTGCATGGTGGAAGACAGAAACAAAATGAGGAGGAACCCCATGAGATGATGCACAGGTCCTACTTCATTGAACAACATTTTTATTCTTCATCTTCAGCTTCCAGATAATTGCACCTAAATAGATACATTGATCCACTACCATTCAAGAAATAAAATAGTCTTCCCCGTAATGTTATCGTGGTTACAGCATCCTATGGCAAGCTGTTTTTATATGTATTAGTTTGACTGAATATGTATTTCTGATATCTGAAAAAACTAGCCTGATAAACCAGACTAAATGTGAGATTAAATGTATCATTTAGTCCGGCCCCGATGAATAAGACATCGGAAGATTGTTGGTGAGAAAAGCGCATTGTTTTTTAAACCATGTCTGTGCCTATTGGCCAACGCTCTAACCAATGAGCGCAACTGACTGTGACGTAGTAAGGGCAACAGAAAGCTGGTGGAGGAGTGTAAACAAACAGCCTGTCGGTAAAACGGCGAATATGTCCTTCTTAAAAATAAATGAGCATAGAGCCTCTTCCTGCTCACGTTTCAACAAAAACCCCAAGTCTAATCTTCCAAAACTGATTCCAAAGCTGAGTCAAACGAGAGCTGTTCAATAGTTGTTGCCATCTTCCTTGTTGTGCTTTCTCCAGCATCACACAGCTTTGTCGTCATGCCCTCAAAACCCCACCCGCTTTGCATCCAGAAATTCAGTACACATCTCTGCGTTGTGATTGGCCCGCCAGATCTAGGGCCTGGGGCATTGATTGAGGCTAGACCAAACTCGCAGGCAAAAATGATTTTGGCTGCTGGCGGATGGGGGTTGTTTACTAGGCTAGAAAAAAACATGTTTTCCTTGTCAAAATGGCCATTTCAGACAAAATGACACTCTTCAGATGTAGAATAAACATTCTGGATGTCTAGGAATTAATTTCAGATCTCTATTTTTCTATTCCCACTGATCATTTGCATTATTTGAAGTATTAAGAAATATATTTCAGATATAGATCTTAGATCTCAGTTCTGCTTTTGATACAGTTGATCATAATATTATTTTAGAAAGACCTGGATATTTTGTAGCAATTAAAGGAACAGCTATAGACTGGTTTAAATCTTATCTATCTGATTGATTTCAGTTCGTTCACGTTCATTACAAATCTTCCTCATGCTCAAGGGTTACCTGTGGAGTACCACAGGGATCAGTGCTAGGACCAATTCTCTTTACTATATATATGCTCCCAATCGGTAGAGTTATTAGACAGCATGGGATAATTTCCACTGTTATGCTGATGATACCCAGCTATATCTGTCTTTAAATCCAGATGAAGCTAACCCATTACATAGATTACAGGCATGTCTTTAAGACATAAAAACCTGGATGACTGTTAACTTTCTGCTTCTGTATGCAGATAAAACAGAAGTTATAGTCTTGGATCCTGAGTCTTTAAAAAATAAGCTGATTAGTCAGGCACTGCATTTGAATGGGATTAAACTGGTTTCAGATAATAAAGTAAAACATCTTGGTGTTATTTTTGATCAGATCAGGACCTGTCATTTAAATCCCATATCAAAGAGGTTTCTAGAATTTCCTTTTTTCATCTGAGGAATATTGCAAAAATTAGAAATATCCTGTCCAGGGGTGATGCTGAGAAACTAGTCCATGCATTTGTTACCTCAGAGCTGAACTATTGTAATTCTTTACTATCAGGAAGTCCACAAACTGTAGTTAGCTGTCCAAAATGCTGCAGCCAGAGTTCTGATAAAAATTAAAAATTAAAAAAAGATCATATCCCCCATATCCTAGCTTCTCTTCATTGGCTTCCTGTTAAATCCAGAATAGAATTTAAAGTCCTCCGTCTCACATATAAAGGCTTAAATGGCAAAGCTCCATCTTACATAAGAAATACGATTGTTCCTTATGTCCCTAACAGAGCACTTCGCTCTCAATCTGCACGTTAACTAAATTTCTAAAAGTAGAATGGGAGGCAGATCTTTTAGTTATCAGGCTCCTCTCCTGTGGCTCCTCTCAGGTTATCCTGAGCTATCTCTATAGTTATGCTGCTATAGGCTTAGACTTCTGAATGACATATTGAGCCCTATTTCATTATTCTGCTTCATTGTTCTCTCACTCTGCAGAATCTGTTAGCTTAATTTCTAACGGTATGATGTCTCTGCTTTTTCTCAAAGTAGCTTTGCCTCGTTTGTTCCTGTTTGGCTGTAACACCATCCTGGAGAGAAATTTCAGCTGTGCTGCTAACATCAACACCTTTGTTTAAAGATGTTGGAGATCACCCTGTTTTTCAGTGTAGTCCTGTTTATCTGACTGTGAATGGCTAGATGTGCTCTCCTCATCCTCTGACATGGGAGCTGGCTTGGAGCTCGTCTGC